TCGCGACTGAACTCTCTCACTTGTAAATATTACAAAAAAATAAACTTTACAAATCCATATTTTAATGATAATAATTTCAACTATTGTGAAATATAATACAAAATTTTAAGTTGAATTTAGTTAAAACAATAATATTTGGTCTTAAATGCAATCTTACTTTTTAACAAAATTCAACAAAAAAAATGAAACAATTTAAAGAAAATGAAGAAATTGTTGATTCCGATGATGAAATCAATGAAGAGGAAATTAATCAAGAAAATTCCGATGATCAACAAGAAGAAGATAATGATGATGCAAATGAATTAATGAATCAACAAGAAGAAGATATTGATGAAATGAATGATGATGAAAAAGAATCATCTTTAAATTCGGAAATGAAAAATTCTATTGAAATTAAATTAAAGAATTTAAATTCAACAATTTACTTAATTGGAGTTTGTTATTTTCAAGTTTTACAAGGAAGTATTAAAATATTGGGAAAGAATATTAAAAATTCATCAAATAGTTATTTATTAAATAGTAATTGCATGTATGGAATGATTGCAATTGAAAATACAAATCAAGAAAGTTTAATTAAATTTTATATACCAAATAAGGAAAGTGAAGAATATGATTTATATACAAGATGTTATTATTTACATAAAAATTTACAAATATTTAATAATTTAAAATTAGAAAAATCAAAACGTAAACTTGAATCACTTTACATTTATGGAAATTCTAATATTCCAACACATTTAATTAAATTTGATTTTGCAAATGATTTTATGAAAAGAGTTATAAATAGATGTACAAGAAAAGAATTAAGAAAATATGTAATATGTGGACATGCCTTATCAGGTAAATCCTTATTTAGTAATTATTTAATGAATGAATTATTAAATTATTATCCAAAAGTAGCATTTTTAAATTTAAATATTAATGTTCCTACATTTGGAATTAGAGGTACATTATCACTTTCAATTCATTCAAATCCAACATTTGGACCACTTTTTCAAAATACTAAAAATGAATTAATTTACCAAATATATCATGGTCATTCAACAACTGATATTCAAATTGAAACTTATTTAAAACAATCACTTGAATTATATCAAATTTATTGTAAAAAATATTCAAATATTCCATTAATTATTAATAGTCAATCTTTATTACCTTCAAGTGGATATCAAATTATTTTGGAATTACTTCAAATTTTAAATCAAAATACCAAAAATGGTATGACAGATTTAATAGTATTAAGTAATTATAAAAATATTAATTTGAATCCATCACCTTCTGGATTAATAGATTACAATAATATTAAAAATAATACTATATTCTTTAATAATATTAATAATAGGGAAATTACAGGTGAAAATACTTCAATTGTTGATTTGAGAAATTTAGAAACTTTATTTATTATTGGATCGAAACAAGGTTATAGAAATCATTATTTTTCTAAAATTAATTTACAACACTTGTTTTATTTTTCATATTGTTATGAAATTGAGGAATTTAAAAGAATTTTTGATTTGGTTTTTACAAAATCATTACAGCAAACAATTGCATTCAATATTTCTAAAAATAGTAATATTAGTAATAGTAGTAATAGTAGTAGTAATAATAACTCAACAACAACAATTGCAACAACAATGGGAAATTCTAAAAGTATTTATGAATTCTTTGCAGAACTTCCTACAATTAAATTAAAATGGAATCAAGTAATAATTACATTACTAAATACAGATTCAAGTGAATTATCAAAAGGATTATATTATTTAAATGGATCATTTGTTGGAGTTTATTCATTTAAACCTCCTAAAAATAATAATGGAATAATTACAAATGAATATCATAACAAGTTAATTTCCAATCAATCAAGTGAATATCCACTCATGACCATTAAAACAAATCAAGAATTAAAAACTCAATTGAAATGTATTGGATTAGTTAAGAAAGTATGTCCCTATGAAAAGGTTATTTATTTGTCCATTCCAAATAATTATGAACATGATGAAATTCATCATTTAACAGTTGGAAGTTGTGTATTTGATTTTAATCCAGAAGATTATTGTAAACAAACAATGAATCAACCATATTTTCAATCAAAATCAATGACTGTGGATAAAGGAGATGTTTTACAAAATGCTCACAAATTGAAATTACAAAAACAAATGCAACAACATTACAAAAATTAGTAAAAACTACTACTGCTAGTATCTCTTTTAAATGCTCAATACTTTTATATCTAAAGAATTCTTTTGAATCATTTTACTAGATTCAAAAATTGACCACTCATAGATGACAGCAAAGAAAAGGGCTGTAAATTTCCATTCACTGTTCTTCAGCTGACAATTAAAAAAAACGAACAATAAACAGCAAACATCTGTAACTGTTATTGAGGGCGCGTAAAAATACAGCTTTAAAAATTTAAAAAAAATGTCTTCATCGGAGAGATCACCTTACTTTGCTTATTCATTCAAGAATAGAGGAGGGAGAGATGCCCTGTCTATTCACTATTTTTTGCATAGATCTCGATTGGACAATTCTAGGTCTTGTATAGATAATAAAACACCAAGGACAATGCATGCGAGACCTAAAAAGAAGAGTAAGTAGTCTTCATCAATTTTTAAATCTTATTGGCTGTTGCGCTTTGACAATAATGTCCTTACTATTTGATAAAGAAGAGGACCAACACTTGAATGGTGATATTAGCCACTCGGTAAAAGAAGATAAATCCTATAACTTTGGATCACCTTCATTGTCCGGATTTTTAAATTCGCCAAGAAGTGCTGCTTCTCCAAGTCGGTAAGTATTTCATTCCGTAACTTCAATCATCAAACATCATCATTAATTGAAACTCTATTATGTTTTAAACTACATCACCTTACCTCTTAATTTCGAATGATTGACATTCTAATAGTTGTCCCAGTGTTAGATCCAAGAGTCCAAAATCTGTTAATTCTAGCAGTGCTGCTGGAAATCGTTCTCAATCAGCAATGAGTTTGAGACAACGTTGTATATCATCAATGTCGGAAGAAATAAGGAATGTAACACCATTAAGTTTTCAAGAAATACAAGAAATTGAAGAATTAAGCAATCAAATCTCACATCAAATGGATAAAGATACAGCTACTGAGAGAAGATCTCAGTATGACCAATTCATTATCAATACACCTAGGGAACGATTTTTCGAGGATAAAAGAGATTTGGAAATCTATAACCAATTTTCAGCAATGCTTAGCAAATTCTCACCTCAGGATGTTGAAGACATTTTGGATGGAGTAAGGAAACATGTACAAGATTTCAAACTTCTTCGTGAGTTTGGTGGTGATCCATTTGATGGTTGTTAACACTTTGAGATTGTAAATAGTAATATCTTTAATTGTAAAAGAAAATGTTTATTTATTGAAAATGAGTGCTCTCTTGTCTTCTGAAGTTGAAAAGATATACTTTGATGATTGAGATAAATCAGAAACAACATCAGCATGTCCTTGATATAATTTCAAAACTTTTCCAGTTCTGATATCCCAACTGAGAATATTACCTAAAATATCACCTGAATAAATAATGTATGATTGAGTAGAATCAAAGAAGGCACGTGTAACACCAGTAAGAGTACCATTTGTATCAAAGTTCAAATCACTGCTACTGCTTGATCCGAGTTCTGGATTTTCTATTATTGGATAATTCTTTAAAACTAGACGAGCTGATCCAGCATTAGTATCCCATACAACAATTTGACCATCCATACCACAAGAAACAAGTAAACTTTGATTTTCTGGATGGAATAAAACTTCTTCAACTGAATTTGTATGAGCATGTTTGTTTTTAAGATGGCTAATAACTCTTTGTTGTTCCAATTGACAAAGTGCAATAGAACCATCCAAAGAACCACATAAAAATACTGAAGGATTAAGAGTACTACATTTCAAAGATGTAATTGGTTCTTCACAGAATGATTTGATATTCTTTTCATGAGCAGAGTAATTGACAATACATTCAGCAGTTTTTGGATTCCAAATTTTAACAGTAGCATCATCAGAAGCAGTTACCATTAATTTTCCATCAGTTGTGAAACAACCATTTGTAACACTTTCAGAGTGACCAGAAAATACATTCAAACAAACTTCTTTTTGAGTATTCCACATCCATGTAGTAGCATCTTGTGAACCACCAATGATAATATTACCTCTTGGATGCCAATCAATCCATTCAATACTATCACCTGGACCTTCTAATGAAGAAATAAAAGCACCTGACTTGGCATTCCAAAGTTTAACAGTTCCATCCATAGCAGCAGTTGCTAAAATTGTCTTATCAAAATTGAATTTTGATTGTAAAACTGTATCAGTATGTCCAGCAAGTTTTGCAATTGGACTTGTTGTCATTGTTGTTGTATCAAAAGTCCACAAATATGCAGAATCATCTCCTGATGAAGTAGCACAAATAAATTTATCATTTCCATCATTAATAACACTAATTGAATAAATTGCATCTGTATGTTCATTGAATGAAGCATTAGAATGATCTGGTACATTTCGGAGTGGTCTTTCATCTTCCATTCCATCATCATCTACCCATTCTTCTCCTTCATTATCTTCTTCATCACTTGGTGGTGCATCATCTTCACCATATTCTCCTGCTACTTCTTCAATATCTTCTTCATTAATAAAGGCTTCATCACCTTCATCATCAGTTATATAATCCTCACTCAAATCATAATTTTCTCCATTTTCCATTGGTGTATCCGATTTTTCACTTCCTAATGCCATTTGTTATATATTAATTATTGTTTGTTGTTTATGTATTTGTTCTTCTAACCAACGTTGTTGATTTTTTTTAAGTTCAACAAAAGAGTAGAATCATCAGCAACACAATTAATAATCGAAGGCTTTGAAAACTTGAAGAGTTGGTTGAATAACAATATGTTTATTATAGATAGGATATCGGAAGTTGTTTGAATAAATATCAGAGTTGAAGTTAATTAGTCCATTCTTATCATTTCCGATGAGGACAATTTAAATAGTTCTTATTAAAAATAAAAATATTAATTAATTTTAATGATGAAGAAAGCATCAATTTTATAATGAGGAGCTAATTATTCAACTTTTCCTTTCAAGAATGAAAATAAACTCTCATATGTTCCACAGGAGCACAATAGAAAGCATCAATGATTGGTTTTCTCACCACTAATTCTACCAAATCCTCAATAAATGTTTCAACTGTTTCGAATTTCTTACTCAATCCCTCCTTTGAATTTCTTGTTGAATTTCAATGAATGAAACTCTCTCATGATTGGAAACTTGTTAACTATAGTGCATGTCCATAAAGAGAACAAATGTTCAAGAAAGTTAGAAAAGACTAGTCAATTAGACAAATTTATGAATAATTACACTTGTAATGGTTCCAACTAGAATGAAAATACCCAATAGCAAAACCATCATACAAGTAACTCCAATTAGAATTCTAAATAATTGTTGTCTGAGAGAATTTGAATGTGCATCATTGCTCTTCTTTGCGTAATACTCTTCCAATGGATGTTCAATAATAGTGTTATTGGTTTCGGTTACTGATTTTGTGTTGGAAAGTTCAATATTTTCATCATTTGATCTCTTTAATGAACATCCAAATGAAAATTCCAATTTTAAATAAAGACTTGGTGGAATAATATATGCTAATGAACTAGCAGCTACTGCTCCAAATAAATCTGCTACAATGCCTAAATCAGTAACACCAATAGCCACTCCAAAAGATGTCAATAAAACTGTCATTGTCAAAATTACATGAAGAATGTTTCTTCTCACTTTTGTCTTTTGAATTCGCTTGTAAACTTTTGGTAAAATTGTCTTTAACAATGTATGCAAACAATCCCTTGGCATGAATAATGCATAAGGAATAGACATGATAATATTGAGGGAAATGATTATTCTTGCAATGATTGCCATTGGATCATTGAAAGGAAACAAGTTCAATACATTGGCGTCATCTAGACACTTATCATAAAATATTAAATATCCACTCATTCCAACACATGTAATAGTTAGGATTGTAATAATCACTACAAATAGTGCCACTAGAAAGAATCTAAATCTGGTAGGTCTTCTTAAATTGGAAAATATGTGAAATACTATATCGTGGCAAACATAGATAAATGCCAAAGCTCCAAAAGCAGATAAAATTTCACTCTTTGCAAAATCAAATGCATTAGAAGATGGAATGAGAGCTCTTTGACCTGTCATCTTTTCAATTGCCAACCAAATTCCAACCAGCAATACGGAGCTAACTGAAATGAATGAAGTAATTGCGTAACTTCCCAAATTCTTTCTCAAAGCAAATGGAATCATAATAATTGTCAAAATTATCAATACAGATTCTCTACTAAAAAGGAAAGAATATCCACTAAGAATAGAACTGAAATTCTTTTCAACTAGTAAAAGTAAATCTGGAACTAAATGCCCAAACATGATAAACATGCCTAATGCCCCACCAAAGTTGAATAATAGAATTGGAATACTTGCAATGACAACACCTGGTTTACCAAATGCCAATTCTGACAATTCCAATAAACTAGTTTTCAAATACTTTCTTCTCAATTCATATAAAATCATTAAAGTAAATAAAGTTACCAATCCAAAGAACACGGTAAGAATCAAACTTGAGAAAATACCTGATTGAGCTGTCATTTGAGACATACTCAAAGTACCTGGACTCAAAACATCATTAATCAAATTGAATACTGACAAGAATATGCCTGTCTTCTTATCATAAATTAGAGATCTCTTTCTTTTACCATTCTTCTTTTCCTTCTTTTCTGGAACTTTGAAATAATCATCTTTGATCATATTTGCTAATGATCTGTCAGAGGTCATTGACATTAAACTCATTTCAGAGTTTAAACTTGACATGCTTGCCACTGATGGAGTGTTCATCATATCTTGTTGACTCCAAGTTGAAACAATTCTCAATTCCTCTTCAATTACTTCCTTACTTTCATTCTTCTCTACTCTGACAAATTGTTTCACAAACTTCAACAAATCCAAGCGTTGATCCAATGGAGAAGGTTTCTTCAATGAAAAGGACGAAACACAACTATTCAAAGCAGGTGATGAGACAACATTTGCTTCAGATAACACATTTCCATAAATACCATCTAATGAAACAGAATACATTGACACCTCACTATCCAACCTCATTTCAATATTTACACTTTCTAATGGTGGTCCATTAGTAGTAACAGCTGAAGAACAACTATTCGAAACTACTGAGAATGACATTTCTTCTTATACTATCTTCAAAAATACAAAACTACAAATATTTTATGGAGGTTTGTTTCTTTGTATCATAATTGCAGGTTCAGTTTTGATTCTTTGAATCACAAATTGTGCGCAAAAAAGGGAAATTTCAAATGAGCTGTTGAGAGATGTCAGTTTTGAGGCTTTTTTTTTATTGTCGTTGTAGTTTGATTTATGGAACTTTTAAAAAATAGCCTGAATCTCAATGAGAATCAAGAATGCATCAATGAAAGTAGGCACCTCAGAAAATAACTTGTCTCTTCTATTTATAGAAGATCAACTACATTTTAGAATTAAAGAATTGGTTTCTTGTATTATTTGAATTGGCTATTATTATTCACTGTTATTAAAAGTTGTAATTCAAAATTTGTGCCTTATTAACTACTAAGAACGAAACCGCCAATTTTCAAAAAAAATGTTTCAAGGCTACTTACTACTTTCAAACTCTTAGAGGATCGGAGAAAAAACAAGTGGAAAATTTGATATTGAAGAATGGTGGCTCATTCATCATGTATCATATAGTTGAACTTGGAGAGTAAACAAAAATAACTTACTCAATGGCAGCTTGATAATCAAATAATGTGTATTATTCTGTGTGTAACTAGTTAAGAAGTTTGTATCAATCACAGGAATTTAACATTGGTAAGCAAAAGAGTAATATATGAAGTATATTTGTTAGGTGAATAAATAACAATCTGCTTGTCAGAAGAATTAGCAATCATTCGTTTCATTAACTTCAAAAAGAGGAAAAGAGGTGATGAACAAGTGGAGAATCCTAGAAAGGCTAAGAAATATGTAGATTATTATTCTGAACTCACACCACTTGATATTGATATGAAAACAGAGGAAACATTTGGTGAACTTTCAACTTTACAACATAAGGTGAAAGTTTTAAATGCAAGTTTCAATCGTTGGGACTTGGACGAAATTCAACAACTCTTCTTTTCACAACTTTTGGTGGAACTGGATCAAGTAAGTTACATGCACAGATCCTGTTATTTACTATTATTTAAAACTCACTTTCAGGATGTGTTTGAATTTCAAAAAACAGAAGAAAAGTTAAAAGAAGGTGAACTACTTGAAAGTATATTTGAGGCTGAGCAAAATCAAAAAAGTGAAGTTTCTTTTTTAAGGTCTTTCACCAAGTCCAATCAATACAATAACAAACTATCTCCCTTTTCGTTTCCAACGAATACTACCTATCTGAATCTTTGACAAAAAGAGCTGCATGGTTGACGAAGCATACCAAACTTGAGAACAACCAAGATTTATTCCCTGACTTTTTCCTTTCCCACAAGAATGTTTTTGGTGATGGTTGTACTTTTGAAACATTCCTTCTATGTGAGGTTCAGAGATATGAATTAGAAAACGAAGATGTTTTTCTCCACAAGGATGTGTGTAATCTAGTACTATACATGAGATGTATATTTAAAAACTGGATTGAAAGATTATCCACCAATCAATTGCTAACATGTGATAATATGGAGAAGATTCGTGTGTTTGGTTCTTTAGTTGCAGGTACTACAATAGTGTGGTTAGAAATGAGATTGAAATTCCACAACGAATTTGATCTTGTAAATGGTCAGTCTCTTCCCCCTTTTACATATGCTTTGAAAGTTTCTGATATTTATGACTTGACCACAGTTCAAGGTTTATCAAAGTCTTTGATGATTTTACAACATACATTCGATCATGTCAATAACATACAATTTAACGCAGGTGAACCTCTTGAATCTAAGAATCTGTCAACGAGAACTAAATAATATTAAAATATTGACCCCAAACACACCAAAGATTAAATTACTCATCACTATTAGATGGATAGGTCAATGTTTAACAATTTTACAACAATTACATTTAAAATTGAATATATTACATTTCGATAATTAAATTGACAATATTCTAACAAGAAAAAGCAATGGTGGTGACATAATTGGTCAATTCATTCTCAAAGAATGTAACATGGCTGATGGGTTGGTTTGTGATTTAGTAATATCCGATTTAATACAGCATTTCAATTACAGGGCTCTTCAGACAATGAAGAAAGAAAAACCATAACACGTCCTGATGCATTTAAATTTCCATACACTTGGCATAGTGCAAGATAATTATGCAATGGCTATTTTTATTGCAAAACTTGTTAGAAGAATCATAGTTGAAGATTTTCAAGAATTTCAAGAATTATTAATTCATCTCAAACTTTCAAAGAATATGGCAACAGTGTGATCAGATATTTTGAAAAATTAGTTAATGATACTGAAAATGTTGAACCAATCTACAAAGCATACTTCTTACCTGGATTGATCCAATTGCTCAAATATATCATTTATCAAAATAGGAACACACCAAGTTTATTATCAAACATTACAAAAATTTATCAATCAAACATTAATAATGTTATGAATATACTTAATACCACAACTATAACCCAGACAAACAACTCTAACACTTTCAATAAACCTTAATTCTTATTTGGTTGATAATCAAATAATTGGAAGGTAAAAGGTTAAATATTTCAGCGTTTCTAAGAGATTGAACAAAAATTAACAAAGTTAATGTGTAAATAATTTATGGTCTACTGTGTTATTAATGAGATTACGAAATTGATTGAACGCGGAGTTAGTTCAATTAAACTCCTAAAAAAATGTCGAAATCTCTAGTCCTACTATTATTGTGTAGTTTCATCATTACATTGAATATTGTTTCTCTTGCTTCTGCAACAATACCATTACCACCATTATGGGGAGGAGTTTCAACATTCCGAGTTTTAGTTAATTTAACAAATCCTGACCCAATTACTAATTGGTTATTTGCTTATTATCATGATTCCGATTTAAATGCTGAAAGATATGAACATTTTCCACCACAATATGATGAAATGTGTACTGGATTACCATATGGAAGTGATCAACAGTGTAATGTTATATTTGCTACTAATGGTTGGTCTTATTTACAATTTCCAAAAGTTAATTTCTGTTGTAAATGTGAAAATCAATTTGGAGCAGTGAAGGGAAATTGGATGGAAAAGAATTCAACATTTGTTGGTGTTGAAAATTTGTTAGGATATCAAGTTCAACATTGGACGAAACAAGGTCAATATTTGAATCATTATTATTGTACTAATAGTGATAAGATTAGAATTCCAATAAGATTTAATGAATTGTGGGGACCTAAACATATTTTGAAACAATGGGATTTTAAGGTTGAAACTTATAATACGAAACCATTCGATAGATCACTAATTGATGCGCCACAAAATTGTGAAAATTTGTGTACAAGTGGTGTTTGTGCTGCTTACAGAAAATAAATTTATTAAAACACATTTGAGAATAGAGTTTACAAATTATCCAATTCTTCAGCATCTTCTTCTCTATTCACACGACCAGGTCTTGTATTCATTCCATTTTGCTTATTAAGTTTCTTATAGAAGAATACGAAAGAAACTATTCCAACACAGAGAATCAACAATGAGACAATAACCAAAATGACCAATAGCAAGACAATGGCTTCATTGACAAATTGATATGGATTCTCTTCTACAGTAATTTCATATTCGTCCAATACCACATTATTATACTTTAAAACAAGTGAATGTTGACCACTTGTATCAATATTAGCACATGTTGCAAAACCATAACCGTTAATATAGTTTGTCAATTGACAATATAACTTGTCGTTAGGATTTGCAGATGAAATGGAAAGGAGTGGAATATCAATAACTGGTGTTGGTTTGTTATCACTATCAAATAATTTGAAATACAATGTGAATTCTTTGCCAGAATAAATCAATTGATTATTGTGAATAAGTAATTCTCCCTTAGATGCCTTTTTAACAACAGGAATTTTGATTCGAATGTTTCTAATCTTTTGATCATTGAAGAAACTACGTGGTGTGAATTCAAGTAAAAGTTCATTACCATTAGTAAATTCTTCTTCATTGAGATTCACAATAAGTCTACCAACTCCATCCCTTACAACAGCTGTTGGTTGTGGTGTTTTGGCATTTTGAACACTAATTGTACCTTGAAGGTAGAAATCTACAGTTGAATATTGTAGATTAACAAATGTAATATCTACTCTGACACTAGTCCCATAGTAATATTTAGGATTTGGTTCAGAGAGATCATAGGCTACATCATTGGCGGCCCTTGATGTGCAATAACCCTCTATTTCATGTAACAAAACAGCAAAGTCCATGTCGTTAGCTTTTGCAACAACATAAACAGTGTGTGTATTATCATATCTTGAAATTGTTGTATCTTGAGAACAGTTTTGACTATTGGTCTACTTTTGATAATGTCATAGGCAAACTGTTTGCCTGCCTTGAACATGAACAAGTCATCAACATTATCAATAATGTAATACGAAAAGGTTTCATCAAAAAGAAAACCATCTATTTCCATTTTGATGGAACCAATTACTGGGGATTTACTATCTGAACAAGAAACAGCTTTCACAAATACACCATTAACAAATTCATGACTCCTACAATCAACACATGTACATGTATCATCCATCTTTCTCTTTGTAGATTCAAATTTTTGAATGTTGTTTGCCATCTCAACATGTTGAGTGGTAAGTGTTGTTGCATGTGTGGTTAGAACCATGACACAAAGCAAAATCATCGCCAATACAATAGCAAAAAAGCTTGTTTTCATATTGTAGTGTAGTTTGGGATTGCAATTTCTTTTTGAATGTTGTATTTAATATTGAATACACTGACTTCCTTTCGAATACTTGATGCTGAAAGAATTCGTCAAACGTTTCAAGCATTCGTAATATCCATTTGTAATTTTGGGTCTTGTGTCACCATTTACGACTTTAACATCCATTTCACATCGACGAAAATGGTGCACACCTTTTGGATGAAGAATAGGAGCAGATATTTACCACCCACTTGGTTTATCAATGTGTTTTTTTGTTTTCCAATACCCAACGCAGCTTATTTTCCTAGTGGTGTCATTTCACTAATGTACTTAGCACCTTCATCACCAATTTGATTCCTAGATATAATAAGTGATATTAATTGTTTCATTTCACTAATGTATTTAGCTCCTTCATCACCAATTTCATTATTAGTAATATTAAGTGATGTTAATTGTTTCATTTCACTTATGTATTTAGCACCTTCATCACTAGCTTGATTGAAAGAAATATCAAGTGATGTTAATTGTTTCATTTCACTAATGAATTTGACCCCTTGTACACCAATTTGATTGAAAGAAATATCAAGTGACGTTAATCGTTTCATATCACTAATGAATTTGAGTTTTTCAAAAGAGTCAAGCAAATATCTAAAAACTTTAAGATTAATAATTCTATTCCTAAACTGACTTTTCATGAATAATTCAACTCGTTTCTCTGTAATTTTTTTTTTAAATTGCGTTCCTTGATCACATTAAAGAATTGTTTTGAAATCAAGGAACAATTATTCAAAATAAACCACGAATCATCGAGCATGGAAATTATTTCAAAACAAACATCATCTGAAAATATTTCTTGTTGGAATTTCCCACTCTTTTTTGATTTCTCTTCCAAACTATTGTTAGTGAATATTTCCTTCACCGAATTAATTAATTGATGATTTTCAAAATCTTGTCTTTTTCGTTTGCTCATTTTTTAAATTTGTGCGATGCAACAACACAAGAAACGTGATTACTTGTCACAATTATTTCTCATTCCTGACTCAGAAAATTAACAAGTTTTTTAACGATTGTTCGTTGGATCTTGAAAATATGTGAACCTCTGCATAAATACTATGAGGGGTATGAATTGATTCACATTGGAGGTTGACACAGATTTTGTAAACTTATATTGAATTCAAACTCTTCAAAACCTAATCCATCTTGATGTTTTGTACTAATCATGTATTAAAAATTGTCTAAAAATAACTTTAACAATCTTGAAATTGAGATTTTCAAGTTTAAAATGCAATAAAAATTTAAAATAATTTTGAATTTTTAAAAAAAACAAAAAAAATGCAATCACATCAAGAACACGGTGAATCGGAGGAAGCCGATTATTCCATTCTTCCAATGGATGTCATTCTGGAAATTTATTCCTTTCTCACATTAAAAAAGAAACAATTCGAAACTTTACAATCAAATGCTAATTTACTACATATTCTTTTCGGATATAAAAATTGGGATTCTAATAGATTAATTTATTTTTTGTATAAACATTTTCATATTAAATCCAAGTTGGAAATTGATAATTATTTAATCAATTCGATATTTAAATTAGCGACTGGAATTAAAATTGAACAATTTCAGATTCGGGATGAAAATTGTTTGGCCCTTGAGAAGAATCAACAATTGAAGAGATTTGTTTATACAGGAAGTCAAAAACACTTCAATTCTAATATGTGTGAATCATTATCTCATTGTAAATCTTTGAGATTTTTAAAGTTGAACACTGTCTATGACACTTCCTTCAAGATTTTATTTAATACTTTACCTAAATTAAGATTTTTATATGTATCTACTGGATTCCAAACTCAAAATTTAGTTGATTTTAATTTTGATGGAATTGTTTATGAGGATTCAGAATTGAGACAAATAGTATTATCATCAATTTATGGATTTTCTGATGAACATCAATTATGTAATTTATTCAAGTTTCCTAAATTGGTTATTCTCTATCTGGAAAATCAAAATATTACAAAAGAATCATTTAAATTTGCTTATCTGAACTGTAAAGAATTATGTTTTGATAAGTGTTACAAATTGACTGACGTTGGAGCTAATGCCTTGTCTAAAACTAATTGCCCAAATTTGGAAACTTTGAAATTGTCAGCGTGTTCAATAAGAAGCCAAGGACTAAAGTCACTATTCCATCCAAACAATGCTCAATTGTTGAATCAGCTTAAATACTTGGAAATGAGCAAGAATTTGATGGTTGGAACTGCTTTACAAAATTTAAAAAATTTCCAATTTGATAATTTGGAAACTGTTGATTTCAATTATTGTTCAAACCTTTCAGATGTTGGTGTCAAGACACTTGTCAAATCAATATGTAAAACTGTCAAGATTTTGAAATTGAATCAGTGTGGAATAACCTTTGATGGATTTAGTTATATTTTAGAAAATTGTTCTAAACTTCACAAACTTCAACTTGTATCCAATGCCATAACATTCCCAAACGTTGGAGATGATAATTATATTACCATAGATCCAAGTAGATATGAAAACTTGAAATTAATCAAATTGGAAGATAACAAAATTACCAACATTGATTGGTTATTAGAACATTTACCTAAAAAATTGGATTTCCTCAATTTGAGTGCCAACCCAATTGGAAATCAAGAAGCCAAAAGGATTATTGCTCATCCATGTGAGATTACCTATCTCACTCTTGAGAAATGTAACTTGACTGATGAATTTATATTGGAAACTAAATTATCTCAAGAACAAATTCCATGTTTACAAGCATTCAGAGTTATTGGAAATGATTTTACAGATGATGCCATTCAAAAACTCATTGAACAACAACCTCAACTCACCAGACTATTCCTAAGTGGAAATGCACGCCTCACAAATAAGACCATTGATACAATTGTAAACTCCAAACTTGAATTACAAGTTTTATGGTTGGAAAAGTGTCCTCTCATTTCCAAAGAAAAACAAAAGGAATGTAGTGCAAAGTATGATATTGTCAGATTTTAAACTTTTCAATATTTTGTAAATACTATTAAACTATTTAAACTTACTAAATTCGGAATCTCTATTGAAAAAGGAAAAAGCATTTCCATTCCATGTAAGCAGAGTGAATCTGTTGTTTCTTTCCTGAAACCATTAAACAATGTATCTTTGTTATCTTGCTTCATCCATTCCAAACTCTTTGTTACTATCAACATTGGACTGTTATTTTTTTCCAAGTTGTTTTTTCCTTAACCTTAGTTACACCTTTAAAGTATTTTGTAAACTCAATTACACTATTTAATTCAATAATTTATATTATTCTTGAAATTACAAAAATACCATTACTAAATACTTGAAAAAAATGCCTCGAGAAATAGTGTATGTTTTTTATTGCAAGGCTTTGTATTTTTAAACACGCAAAATCAAATTTTATTACCATGCCTTATTGTTATATGTTGGGAAAATACAACTTTTGATGATGAACAAAAACGATCGGCAATATTATATAATATTAATATTAATTTTAACAAACAATAATAAAAAGAACAATTCAAGTGGGACAATGTGGTAATCAAATCGGAGGAAGAATGTGGGATTTAGTATTGAGGGAACATGCTGCAGTGTTTCAAAATAAGAAAAATCAAAATCCCGATATTTTGTATGATGAACCGTTATCAACCTTTTTCAAATGGGATATGGAGCAGAAATCGAGAAGGGCCGGCATGCCAGATATTAAAGCAAGAGCATTACTAGTGGACATGGAAGAAGGAGTTGTGAATCAAATATTTAAAAGTGATATTGGAGGATTGTTTAATAGAGATAGACAAGTTATTTCTGATGTGAGTGGTTCAGGAAACAATTGGGCACATGGTCATGAAGTGTATGGACCTAAATATCATGAGGAAATATTGGAGAAAATTAGATGGGAAGTTGAAGAATGTGATTCGATTCAGAGTTTCTTTTTACTTCATAGTTTAGGAGGTGGTACAGGTTCTGGTTTGGGATCTTTTATTACACAAGTCCTCCATGATGAATTTCCTGATATTTATACATTTTCTGCTTGTGTTTTCCCTTCCAAAGACGATGACGTTATCACCTCACCTTATAACTCCTTACTATCACTCAATGAATTATCAGAAAACTCGGATTGTGTTTTACCTATTGAAAATCAAGCACTATATGACATGTGTAAATTTGTAAATTCACTCGAAAAGAAAAAGGATGTGACCAGCACCCTGTCAAAAGAAGAAGATTCAAAACCATTTGACCAAATGAACGATATCGCCGCCACCTTGCTTACCAATTTAACCAGCTCAATGAGATTTGAAGGCTCTCTCAACGTCGATCTTAACGAAATAACCATGAATTTGGTTCCTTATCCAAGGTTGAAATTTTTACTCAGCAGTTTATCTCCTTTTGTGATGCCAAAGGATGTGCATCTTCCTCCAAGAAGAATGGATCAAATGTTTAAGGATGTTCTTTCCAGAGATTATCAATTATTGAAATGTGATCCAATCCATCACAAATATTTATCATGTGGTTTGATTTTAAGAGGCCAACAAGCAAATATCTCTGATATTAACAGAAACATTGCTAAAATGAAGGGTGAAATGGATATGATATATTGGAACCAAGAAGGATTCAAAGTAGGTCTTTGTCACGTAGCACCACACAATCAACCTTACTCTCTTCTTTGCTTGGCTAATAATTGCTGTATTGGAAATGTTTTCTCTGACATGCATACAAGATTTAAGAAGCTCTACAAGAAGAAAATTTACACTCACCACTATACTGAATACATGCCTGAAGCTCTCTTTGATGAAGCTTTGGAAAATGCTGCAAGTTTAATTGAAGAATATGCTTCTCTCCAAAACAAGACAGAGGAGGAGGTCCAAGTACCTAGATTTATTCCTGATTTTTAGATTTTCTCTTTGATCTTCTAGATTGATTCCTGAAAGAATCTGATGAGGAAGAATAATTTTGTGGAGAGGAGGGCTCTGGACTAACTGGCTCTCTAATTCCTTGGAAGAAAAATGAGTATAGAATTCCTAGTAAGGATGAATTTCCAACTTTCTTTGGTACATCCTTCTTAATTTCTATGTGAGGCTTAATATTAGCAGTGGAAGTAGAGCTAGAATCCTTCTCACTTGCTCTCTTTGAGTCATCGTATGGCACTGTTCTCGTTGATATAATGAGTAAGAGCAAAATAAAAACTGCAATAAATCCATAATTCAAAATTTCACGTCTCATTGTAGCCATTCTTTCAATATTTTCTTGTGACAATTTTAAAATCTTTTGATCCATACTTGAACTGAATTGATCAATCTTTTGTTTTAGTTTGTTTTCTATTTCAATTTTCTAAATAATTATTAATTATCCTATCAAACAAAGAAACATACCATATCATTAATTATTTGCTCTCTATTCTTCTGTGTCAGTGATATAAAACTGTTGGCAATGAGCTTGTGATCTTCTCCATTCTTTTCCAAAATTTGATGAATATATTGGAATGTCTTGGCATTCTTCATTTCAAGCGCTTTGATTTGATTTTTCAAAATATTTTCATTCTCTCCATGAATTTTAACTTTTACAAACGTTACTCAACAACTAATTCAATCATGAAATACTTACTAGCATTAAATAAGGATTTGAGGATATTTTGCTTTTCATTCAATAAGTGAGAAAGAGTACTCTTCATAGGAGTCTTTTCATCTAAACCATCTGTTTCATCATCAACAACTACTTTTTGCTTCTTCTTAGAATCCTTAGCAGATGGCTTTTTCGTTGGTTGAATATTCTCAAACTTGAGTGTTCCATTAGTGATACATTTCAAACTAAAGTAAGTAACTCTGTATTGACAAACTCCCCAAATTTCCCTATTCTTATTTGAAATGGTATTCATATCTTGACTATTCATAGTATTATTGGAATGTAATGTTCTATTGTAAAGTGAAAATCCCTTATCACTATTCTTTAAAAATCCAACTCTTTCAATAAAATCCTTTTTCAAAACCTTAAAACATGTACAATTAATGACATCCCTTTCCTGTTCAATGATAAATGATATCCTATCATTCCCATCATTCAAACGTCCAATATTGCAAAATCCAAAACTTTGAAATTTCTTCTTTACCAACATTGCCCAAAATTCAGTTTTTGAATTCATACGACTGTTTGTAATCTTTTCCTTAATTAAATTTGAAATGTCATCATTCAATAATTTTCCAAATGATTCTTCCAATTGATCCAATCTTTTAGAATTCTCCTTATCTGAATTATGAATAGATGCTATCTGTTCAGTATTTTCCTTGATTAATTCATTCAAATTTGCCTCTTCCTTCTTAATATCATATTCAATACTTCCATGATTATTAGATTGTGTTTGTTCATTTGTAATTTGAGTTGATTCTGAATTTTTCTTACTGGATTTTTGAAGAGATTTTTTCAAATCTTCCAATAAAGTAGATCCATGAACTCTTAACAAACTCAAAGTACAATAATATTCATTCTCTCCATAATGTGATAAAAATTCCAATTTAACATATCTTGTAATGGATGGTTTTTTAAATGTAAAATGTTGAACTTTTCGACTATTTGCTGCTTGAAAAGTCCCCAACAATTCCCAACAATTTGATTTTTCCTTACATGGATATTTCACAGATGCATAAACCTTAAAATGTTTAAAAGAGCATGAATAATATTCATAATTGGCAATGGCAATACTTTTCATTAATATTTCCTCAGATAATTCCACAACAATCCACTTTTTAGGAACTGATCTTGGAATGAGACAATATTTATCACTATCTTCATTCAATATCCTTGAAACTTTCTAAATCAATTAATTCAATATATTCGAATCTTTAAAGAACATACTTTTGCCTCTCGATTTGATGATAATATCTTGGCTCCTGCTTCTTCCGATGCAAAATTAAATCCAACATTAATCTTGGGTTGTCGAGGAGGAGGAGGTGCTGTTGCTGTTGGAGTACTAGATGTCGTTGATTGTTGTTCAATTGTTGCTGATGATGATGAAGATCCTATATTATTATTATTTGTATTTGTATTAGTATTAGTATTAGGCTGTTGTTGAGTATTGTTTATTGTTGCTGTTGGTGAGGTAGAGGCATGGACGAAGAGGTTATATGTTGAAGAGGATGAATTATCTAAATAAATAAGAATGATTAATACAAATACAAGGAAAGATATGATTGGAGTTGTGATTGTCCGAGAAAGTTGTGAAGAAGTGTCTGACAATTCCGATAATAGCCTTCTTGATTTAAATTTTGGCTTGTTTTGATGTACATATTGCGTAGTAGTTGTGGTGGTAGAATGTGATGATGACATTTTCTTATCTCGTATTGTTGTTGTTGATAATAACAGTAAATTCTCGGCTTTATGGTTAGGTAAATGTTGATCCGAACTGTTGTTAATATTTTGATGATGACTAAATTTAAACATTTTTTGCCTTGTTTGTGTTAAATTGAAGAAAATTAAACACGTGTTTTTTAAATTTTCAATATTATTACAAAATTGGTTTATATATTTACTCTTCTTCAAGATTCTTGAAAGCATTTGAAATTTCTTGATAAAGGTCGTTAAGTTGTTGTTTAACACCAGCTTCACCAAGGGATGGCTTGATAAACTTTTGGCTTGACAACTTGTAAGTCAAATCAGTCATGGCATTCTTAATTGTGTTCCATGTAATCTTGGCACCTGATTCTTGAACAGCCTTTTGAGAATCTTCATAGAATTTAATAAAGTTACGCAACATGAGAATAGTCTTAAAGAATGGACAATACTTGTCATAATCAGTGAATGAGTTTTGTTGCAAGAAATCTTCTCTCAATAATTTAGCAACTTCCAATGTAACCTTATCGTTTTCTGGGAGTGAGTCCTTACCGACCAATTGGACAATTTCTGTCAAATCTTCTTCTTGTTGGAGAATTTCTCTCATGATTGTACGCAAACGAACGAATTCAGGATCGACCTTTTCATAGAAAGGTTCCAAAGAGTTAATGTATTTAGAGTAGGAAATGAGCCAGTTGACTGAAGGGAAGTGCTTTCTTTGAGCCAATTTCTTATCCAAACCCCAAAAGACTTGGACAATACCCAAAGTTGAAGCAGTAACTGGATCGGCAAAGTCACCACCAGGTGGAGAAACAGCACCGACAATAGTAATTGAACCAGTACGACCTGGATTACCAATACAACGAACCTTACCAGCACGTTCATAGAAAGAAGCCAAACGAGCACCCAAATAAGCTGGATAACCAGAGTCAGCAGGCATTTCAGCAAGACGACCAGAAATTTCTCTCAAAGCTTCAGCCCAACGAGAAGTAGAGTCAGCCATCATAGCAACGTTCATACCCATATCTCTGAAATATTCGGACAATGTAATACCAGTATAAATAGAAGCTTCTCTGGCAGCAACAGGCATGTTTGAAGTGTTAGCAACAAGACAAGTTCTGTTCATGATAGAAACTTCCTTACCAGTCTTTTGATTAGTAACAGTAAGGTGAGGGAATTCCATCAATACTTCAGCCATTTCGTTACCACGTTCACCACAACCAACGTAGATAATAGCTTCAGAGTTAGAATATTTAGAAATAGCTTGGGAAATGACAGTCTTACCACAACCAAAGGCACCTGGAATAGCACAAGTACCACCTTGGACAGAAGGGAAGACAGCATCCAAAACACGTTGACCAGTCAAAATTGGATAATCACCAGCTAACTTTTCAATAACTGGACGAGGTTGACGTACAGGCCAGAAGTGGGCCATACCGAATTGTCTCTTCATACCATTGAAATCAACTTCAATGACAGCATCGTTAAGAGTATAGTTACCTGGGCTAGCAATATAAGTAATTTCACCCATAGCACCTGGTGGAAGGAGGATTTTGTGATTAATAAAGTCATTTTCTTCAACTTCACCGAAAATGTCACCTCCAGTGATTTTATCACCAATAGAGAAGTTTGTTGGGTTGAAAAACCAGTTCTTATCCATATCCAATGAATTTACGTTAATACCTCTAGGAATGTAAATATCTTCATTGCAGTTTTTATAAATGACTTCCAAAGGACGTTGGATACCGTCGAAAATACTACCCATGATACCTGGACCCAAGTGAACAGACAATGGTTGTCCAGTTCTCAATACTGGATCACCAACAGTCAAACCTGATGTTTCTTCGTAGACTTGGATTGTGGCAGTATCACCTTCCAAACGAATAATTTCACCCACAAGTTGTTGATTACCAACACGAACAAGTTCGTACATGGCAGCACCTTCCATCTTTTCAGCAACGACGACTGGTCCTGAAACAGACAAGATATCACCGTATTGACTTTCTCCTTCTCTCATTTTTATTGGATGATGGGTAGAGTGTGTATGGTCTTATTTTTTTTACGTAAATTTGTTAAATAATTTTTAAATTTATTTTATTTTTTCAAGAGAAACGATTTGGTAGTCTTGCTCTTCACAGCAATAAAACCAAAAGTCAAGCAAGCCTCGCTGTTGTTGAAGCCTGCTTGTTCAGCAAGGCTCTAAAAAAAATACCACCGGAATAAAACTTTACAATTTCTTCTCCGTTTATCGGATCCCGGAGTTACTTGTTGTTTAATATTTTGGGTTCTAAATAATCGTAGACACTGGTCATTGACTCTAATTCAATTCTTAATGTATATTTAGCTTTTGATCTCGTTTCGATTTTGTTATTTTTACAATGAATGGATTGAAATAATAATATATTTAAAAAAAATACTATTTAATATTAAATTGTTGTAAACTCCTTTAATTACATCACCTATTCGATTATTCAATAAAAAGCAACAATGAACTCGATTGCTAATTTTAATTCTATATTAAAAATTAATTTAATTATAAAATAAAAAATGAAACAAGATGCGATCAGACATGTTTTTCCCGATACTTCAATTGACAAGGTTTTAAAACATACATTCTTTAATGATGATTTTCAAATACGATTTTTGCAACAACGTAAAGAAGTATCAACAGTTTCAATTTCTAAAGGATGGAATAGTAATTTAGATAAAGATGATCCGAGAGTAAAGGAGACTTTTATGAGAGAAACATCAGTGGTTGTGGATAAAATTAATGCGCCTGCAATTTTAGGAATTAAAAGAGTTGATCTTCAAGTTACGGAATCATTAGTGATGGAATCAAGGGATAAATGTAGAGTTATTTGTGATATTTGTCTTGTCGGAGAATCTCCAATGAAGGAATTTTTTGAAATTTCAGCAATTTTTGATTTTGCACAAAAGAGTAATGATGACAATTTTCAAAGTGTAGAATTAACCATTGATATGAAGGCAGAATTTAAAAAACTTATTTGGACTGTTACTGATTTTGTAGAAAATGCATTGATCAAGAATGAGAACAAGTTGTTTTGCAAATGGATTGAAATGGCCTATGATGTCATTCCTTGTATTATCGATAGTATGGATGTTGAACCAACAAATGTAGAAGAATCAAATAAGGAGGAAAAGAAGGGATTTTCTTTATTCAAATCTAAAGAATCAAAGGAATCGAAAGAAACAAAGGATACTTCCAAAAAATCATCCTCTATTGCAATGTCTCTTAAAAACCTATTGAAAAAGAAGAAGAAGGATGGAACCCAAAATGAGGTTGAAAAGAAGGCACAAATATTTATCAAACATGTTGGTTACGAGGAATTGGTAAAGAAGAGCAAGGAGCAACATAAGGAAATGTTTGGTGTCATTGCACAAAAGCAAGAGAATGCTTACTTTGTATTATTTTTTACTACTGTTGGGATAATTATTGGACTATTCCTTTATTATACCTTTTCATCATCCTCAATTAAAATGTAAATATTGTAAATCACATAATTTAAAGGTATTATTAATTATGAACTTTTCATTCAGAAATAACATGTTTATTGTTACATTCTAGAGATCCCTACTTCAACCATCCATAATGAAACTCTACAATTTTCAATTTCTTTTATCAGAGTGTTGATACATCGATAAACACAAGAAATTGCATACTTGCTTAGTTGTTTAAACTCAGTTTATTGATGAAGAAAGCTTAATAATAACAATACGTTGTGAGGTCTCAATAGATTTGAACTTTATTCAACCAATTCAACGACTTAATTGTTGGACTGGAATTTCCCCTCCATTACCATCTCCAAAAATATCTGGAAGAGAAAACTTTAGTGCTAAAAGAAAATCTTCAATTTCCCCCAATTTTTTGAAATCTGATTAACTTTTCCAAACAATTTCATATCAACCTCTTCAAAGAAACTCTTCAATATGGTTGCCTTTTGTTTACAATACTGTTCAAGGAAAACGTCTGATTGTTCTCCAAAGTGTTCAAGACTGATCATTTTTAAATTGATTATTGTTTGGCTATTGCGTCCATCTTCAGGTTTTAAATGGATTTCATTAGATACGTGTTCAATAAATTGGTAAAGAGCCTAAATAATTTAAAATCTCCTTATTTATATTTATTACACAAATAGATTTTCGTAAATAATGGGAAATCATAGTAATAGGAATGACGATTACAGAATCTACAGATTAATTTGCAATAAAAACTCTGAACATGCATTCCTACAATGTCATTCCTTGGGATAATTATTGGACTATTCCTTTATTATACCTGTCATCATCCTTAATTAAATGTAAACATCTGTGTTGAAAACTATTCTTTTTTAACTATTGGAGCAAGTATCATTTGAATTCCTTTCAAATCTGTGACAATAGAAATGAAACGCAAATCAGTTGGGGAAGTTTGAAAATATCTTTGAATTGGCATCAACAAAAAGTAAAGACTAGGTGAAATTTGTACAGCAGTGCATAAATATTGAGAAACCCAATTAGCAGATAAAGTGATCAGCTCTGGAGGTGTAGATAATGGTGTCCAAATCATAGCCGTGCTAAAGTATTGGGATAATTGGATGTCATTCTTCATTTTAAAAAAAGTATTTAAATTAACCAAGTTAGGTGGGATAAGATTACCTGAGATTGGAACAAGTGGCATACCCTGCATTTGAGAATAAACTGTTCCCAGTTGACATGTAAGCTGTGGAACTATTGGTTGTGTTTGAATTGCTGAATTGGTACCTTGTACAGTATGTGATTGAGTATTAATTGTTGAGCTGGATTGACTTGAGCTGGCTGGTGTTGGCTGCTCCTTTTTTATCTCTTCCTTCTTCCTCTTCTTTAACTCTTTTTCAACTTTACGAAGTTCTTTATCTTCTTCCTCTCTTTCTTTCTTGAGTCTATTTTCTTCTTCTTTTTGTTTCTTTTTGAGTAATCTTTGTTCCTCTCGTTTTTTCTTTTTAAGCAGAGCTTCTTCTTCCAATTTTTTCTTTTGAAGTAGCTTTTCTTCTGCTTCTCTTTTTTTGGCTTCTTCCCTTTCGAGTCTTTCTTTCTTCTCTTTCTCTACCCGTTCTGCTTCTCTTTTTACACTCTCTTCTCCAGCTGGGCTAGATGCTGTAATTCTTGTAAAGCTAAATTGAGGTCTAGAGTCTTTATCAGTTTGGTGGTGGATCAAAAATTGTAATAATTCATTGAGGTTTTCTAAAGCATATCTCATAATATTTTCACTATATTTGCTAGAATAACCACTCTTGTTAATCGTTAATTTTTCATTTGACCAATATTGACTCAAACGTTCTAATTTTTCCAAATAACTTTTCACGTGATCATAGCTTGTTTTAGAAACTCCAATTTTGGAAAAGGAGTCTTTAGAACTCTTTAAAAACTTTTGTACAGATGCACACAGCTCACAAGTGCATGGCAAAGTGTGAGGAAGTTTGTAGGTTAATATTTCAATATAGCTTCTAGACAAGCCTCCCTTAATAGAGGAGATACACATTTGCGTTATATTAATCCATTGTTGCAATATAGTATTATCAACTATTGGTTTGAAATTCTTTAGAAATCTATCCAAAATATAAATATTACTAATGACATTCTTATTATAGGTTTTCAAAGTATGCAAGAGAGTTTCATACTCTTCTTTTTCGAGTAAATGTTTGAGAACTACTTCTCTCTCAGATCGGTTATCAAGTAATCGTTTTTCAATCATGTATTTTCTAAATCCAGAATAGAACAATTTCAACTCATTGTCTTCAATATCTTTTTTGTAATTTTCAAAATAATGGGATGGGTTCAAAACTGAAAAAACCTTATTTGGATCAAATGTATTGTATCCATACTTTTGAATGAGTTGTAAACCTCTATTATAATCATTGTTAAAGTAGAATTCTATTGTACCTTTTACAAATTCCTCACACATATAAGTGTCACAAAGAGGAAAATATTGAGCTTTGCAGTGTTTTAATTGGCTATAAAGAGATCTAAATATCGGTAAAAATAAATCTAAATAGGGTGAGCATTGAAATAAATGTAGAAAACTAACCCTTATTAAATGTATAACTAAATTTGTCTCGCTTTTTTTCACAAAATAAGTAGAATGAGTTTAGATTACGGATTGAATCGACTGATTTGACCAGCTGTGTTTCAATATAGTTTACCATTTTAGGGGTAACGAACGGCTCTAGTGCTTCCAAGTATTCATCAATATCAAGCTTATGTCCGTGTTCAAGATTTGTTAAACTATCAATACAATATTGAAAAACAATCTGTTTAAACTCTTGGTCTTCAAATACATTCAAACATTGTTTTAAAGCTTTTGCTGTGATTGAGGCCGAGCTACACTCTTCCTCAAGGAATTTTTTGGTCAAATCTTTCTTGCCAGTTTTAATTAATGTCATTACGAACATCTCTTGCTTGCTAATAGTATGTCTGTATGGTAATTTCCATTCTTCCTTTGTAAATGATTCATAAAATTCGTTAATCTGCTCACTTTCAGCTTTAGAAAGAAATTCAAAGTAGTTCATACCAAAATTAAATCCTAGCTCCACAATTGAACTAAATTGATTAGAAGAAATGATCAAGCATGTTTTTTGATACCATTTAGATGATTGAGTTCCATAATTTCCTGTTAGAATGATTAACTATCTAAATAATTCTCTCGTACTTACCTGTTTGATGTTCAGTTGACTTTGTTAGTTTCATATCTTTCATATCTTTTCCTGGAAATGAAAAAACCTGAGATGGCGAAACAGAGACATCGGAAAGTATTGCCTTTTCATCAAAGTACATTTTAGAGATGGTTAAAAACACTCCCTCTTCAAAGAAATCATCATCACTAAACCCTTCATTAACACGTTTTGTAAAGAAAGATGGAAACAAGAGCAATGGCAATTTGGATGCTTTGAGTGCAGAATAAATTTTGTAATCATTTCCTTTCAAATTTTCACATCCAAAAACTAAACTTTCTGTTGTATATTCGTGTTCCAGCAAATAAACTAATGGTTTCTTGGACAAATCAGTTTTCAACCACTCTGATAATTGTTCTCTTACATTTTCAGAATGTACATGATTATCTGCAATGGATAATTGCTGATTTTCTTGATGAGTTGTTACAATAATATTATAGATAAGGCAAGTTCTGTATCCACTTGTGAGTGGCATAACAGCATGATCACAATCAGAGTAAAATGAAATGAAATGACAACTGCCAAGAATTCATCATGATTAAATTCAATAATGGGAGATTTGAAATTAATTTTCAATAAATTGTTCATACTATAATACTCACTCAGTTGCATAATCATTTGTTGTGGCAATTTCCATTTCATAATCATTGTGTTTGATTTTGAATTCTCCTCCTTCAAAGATGGATGGTAAAATAATAACCAATGTGCATGTTTGTTTACATTCTTTTTCAGAATCTTTGTGATATTCAAAATGTCCTCCTTTTTCATACAATAGTAATTTGTACAATTTACATTCCACATTCTTGTACTTGTCAATTCCCAGTCCACTTTTAATTTTTGTTTCCAATAATTGATTTAATTCTTTTTGCCACATTGTATTTGTAATTCTAAATTGATTTGGTTCCAATTCATAGGAATTTCTCACATTGTCATCATAAATTGTTTCCTCTCCCTTTCCATAAGGTGATTTCTTTGCAATTCTAATAATTTCATCAGCTTGCTCTTTATAAACAATCGGAAAGGGCATTGCTTTATATTTCTTATCAGAATCTTGAGCAGCAGAAACAAGTAATTCCAATCCAGGAAGTGTCACACCATCAAACTTATCAGAACAAACAAAACTTCCTCCACAAGACACAATTTGACTGAAAGATTTCTTCAAACTTTTGTGGAGTGTTGGATAGGTCATTTTGCTCTCCTCCGTTGAAGAAGGATTTTGTTCAATGGTGGATTCATGTCCTGGAATAGTTGGATTTGTTTCTTCATCAGCAACGACACCTTCGGGAATTGATGATTTATCGTCTTGCATTTTTTAATTGGCACATTCATTCTGCTCCTCACTTGTTCACATTGAAAACAACAACAAAATGCAACCTATTACTATTATGAAAGAGACTTTGATACTTCCCTCTTCTGTTTGGATTTATTGTGTGATGTTTTGATTAATAATAATTTGAATAGAAATACTGGTTGCGAAAGATTGAAACTTATTTGGAATTATGTTTACAGTATACACGTTTACAAATTAATGATTTCCATTTTGCAATTATACCAACCAATCAGTACCATTCAATCCATTTACCAAGTTAATAACGGACCTAACAGTCATTCTCTTCAGATTTAACTCGAGTCAAACGTTTGAGAGATTTCTTCAATTTTTGCAATTCTGTTGCCTCGACATACATTCCAATTGTAAATTCTTCCAATCTTCCAAAAGATTCATTCTTTCCCAAAGTAGTCAAGAAACTTTTGACTTTTCCTTGTAAGTACATAATGCTCCACCATCTGTAGGTTCATCCAATCCTTTCGGTACTAGTTCTGGTAGCGATAGAAACAGCCCACTCCCAGTAACAAATAATCAACCAATCAGAACAAGAATGACCAAGCAACATTACCCAATTCAATAGTGTTGAAAATCAAGCAGAATGGGAGATTGGTCAAAAAGAAATGCTCTGTCCTTATTGATAACCTTGGTAAGCAATGGAGTGAAACCATGTTGGGTGTTTTCCATAATAGTTTACTTCCTATGATTCACATGTTCTTGTCGAGACAAGGTGAAACTCTACTCTCACCAATGGCTACCAAATTCAAGATCGTACAAATGCTACCAATCTTAATCCTTCCACAATATTTACTGATAGCTCATCAAGACTTATTGTAGATTTGTGGGATCATTTAGTTTTCAAGATTTTGAGAAGTATTTCCAACGTTTCCTCCTCATGGATAAATAATAATCCTAATAGCTCACTCTTCACATCCATCAAACCTTCACAACCATTACAATTAATTACCAGATCATTAGATGTACTTACTCTCAGTTTTCAATACTCTACATTACAGGATGATACTACTCATTTCGGGTTATGGTTTGTTGTTCCTGATAATTTCCCAACATTGTCCAAAGTATCTTGTCCGTTTTGAGTTCTTCCATTACAACAAATGTAAATATTCAAAACACCTCCAATGGAAGCAATAGCTCCCAACAATTTGTATCCACCCTTAAAAAGCTTATGGCTCTCACAATGGACATTTTAATCATTTTGGAAAATTTGGTTATGGAAATTTTGAAGAGAATTGTATCCATTGCCTATTCATCTGCTAACTCATCCCAAAACGTCATCAAATTGGATAACAAGTGGATCAATGCTTGGCTTTCAATTCTTGAAGGTATAGCAGTATTGTGTTGCACTGGTGGCATTAACACTAGTGGACCGGTCAATGTTCTGAACTTACTAATGTCACAATTGAATAATAGTCAAATTCAAATGTTGAGCCACCTCCAAAGAGATATTAGAACCCAAGCACTTTCAACCTTACAAAGATCTCTTGTTTATAGTTGTGATTTCAGATATTCATTCACTGCCAACCAAGAAGACTCACAAAATCTAAAATATCTCCTCAATGATCAACTCTTAATGATGTGTATGGATCGTGTATTGCTCAAGACATTTTTCCAAACTCTTCTCACACTCAAACCAAAGACAACTGAATATCAAACCAATCACAATACAGAAATGGATATTTCCTCTTTAGAAGAGCTTAGGGTCAGAGCCAACAACTTACTTGCTAGAATATTCCTGCACTTTTTACCAAGAATGTTACCTGTGAATAATACTGAAAGTCAACAAGATAATGGTTTCTCTTCATTGTGGCTCACCATTCTTCAAGTTATGTACAACTTTTTACTCGTCAAACCAAAGAGTGATCATTTGAGGGAGGCTCTTCCAGAATTGTTGAAGAATATGATACTTGTAATGAATAATATTGAAGTATTCAGACTTTCTTCCAAAGTTGTGGGAGTTAACAGAGAAGGAACTTTCTCAATCTATTCCAACCCTTTTGGAAGATGTCAAACCAAGGATAATCAATACCATGACACAACCTGCTGCTAACACTAACATTACAACACCTGTTGATAGTAGTGCCACAAGCAGTTCACAATCCAATGCAACTACAAATTATGCAACTGAATCAACAGCCACCACACCTATTGCACAAGATGATAACCCAACAACATCAACCGAAGCACCATTTAATTCGCAACAAGGAGTTCACACCTTAGGATAGAATGGGCAGAGATTTAGATACATTAAGTAAAAAAAAAGAGTAGAATCTTAACAGTTATTATAATGAGTGTGAGGCAGAGTCTGGCCAAATCCTTTTTTTTGGATTTTACTTAAACATCTGTTGGTTATGAATACTAAGCGATTTTAATTGTTTCATTTCACTTATTAATTTGGCTCCCTCATCACCAATTCCATTTCCACTAATATCAAGTGATGCTAATTGTTTCATTTTACTTATTAATTTGACTCCTTCATCACCAATTCGATTGTAATTAATACTAAGTGATGTTAATTGTTTCATTTCACTTATTAATTTGACTCCTTCGGCACCACTTTGATTTCCACTGATATTAAGTGATGTTAATTGTTTCATTTCACTTATTGATTTGACTCCTTCAACACCAATTTCATTGTTATAAATATCAAGTGATGTTAATTGTTTCATTTCACTTATAAATTTGGCTCCTTCATCACCAATTCGATTGTAATTAATATTAAGTGATGTTAATTGTTTCATATCACTTATGAATTTGGATCCCTCTACACCAATTTCATTATAATATATATCAAGTGATGTTAATTGTTTCATTTCATGTATGAATTTGGATCCTTCTACACCAATTTGATTGTTCCCAATATTAAGTAATGTTAATTGTTTCATTCCACTAATATAATAATGCTTCATGCTCAATTTTTCAATATTTGGAGCAAAATATTGAATCTATTCATCCCTTTCAAAGATATTAGTGAATAGAGAACCAACCCCATATGATAATCTATTACTGACTTGATCTTGTCCACATTTTGAGAGAATGGCATCATATCTAGTTCTGACAAAAGCAACGTTTGGTCCACTTGGTACATTTCTTGCAACTTCTCTAATAAGGAAGATACTATCTTGTGGCTTAACATGGTGGAGAAAGGGCCAAATCCAAGGTCGTTTGCAAGAGTGGAATCTTGCATACACTAACTTGGTTCTTTCCACAGAATCTTGCTCAGCTTTGAATTGATTCAAAATTTGATAATATTCACGTTCTCCACCATTAGAAACAACAGCTCTATAAACAGCATTACGAAGAATTGGAGGAATAATGGTTGAGTTTCTTTCTTGATAACGTTTAAAGGCTTCAGTGACACATTCAGTGAGACCAAAACGACAGGCCAAATTGAGATGGACGTAATTCATCAAGATTTTCCTCATCTTCATCTGCTCCTGGTACATTGGTCCATCCAATTGATTCATACTTGTTTTTAACCAAATCTTTTACCATTCTAGAGAATGAGTTTGAAACACTTTCGGCGGCCAACAATTGATGAAGTTTGAGAATGGATTGATACATATTTTCCCACAAAATACTAGTGTCATCATTCTTCAAAGCAAGAAGCATTTCAAACATTAAAGAGGAATCAATATTTTCAACAGTTGATGTGGCAATAGAAAAAATGTCATTGAAAAGATCAAATCTATCCTCAGCTGATTATCATTTTGTTTTATATATTTTTCTTTATGAAAACTGAGAGATAAATAGGTGAAGATTCCCTTTCAGATTACTAACTATCAAGAGATTAAACTTTGCGAAAAATGTATACTCTTGATTTATTTTGAAAACTGTAGAATTTTACAACGGACCATTTTAGAAAGTCCGGGGTTCAATTCCTGGCAGGAACATGAAAGATTTTTGCTACAATGAGTTTATAACATCCAGTAGTGAAGGTTGACTTGCATTCCAACTCATGTTTTCACAATTTTCTAAAATATTTTCGCATTTCAGTGAGGATATTGGAATGAATTGTGGTGGTGGTTGTGAGAATCCAAGCCGAGTGACCATTCTAGATACTTCATTGACAATTTCTTTAAATCTCAATTCAGAATAATTAACACTTGAGTGATCCATCTTATTCACACAAAATATAAATTGTTTGTTATGCATAATACCTTCCAGAGTTTTCAAAAATAGCAAGAGATGTTTTAGTTGACTAAGGCCGGCCTCATATCCACCTGACGAGGCATCCAATACAATTATCACTATATTTCTAATACCCTTGTTCGAATCTTCCTCAAATACCTTTGCTACTTCCAGCAGGAGGTATTGATCCACTTTAAATCAATACTTTTCAATTTTAATCACAATTAATTCCACATACCCCAAACATCCATTAAATTCAAGAAATGATTTTTTGACTCGACAAAATTCTTACTAGTTGATTTTTTAATCTTTTCAGAATAGGAAGAATCACCTCCGATAACTTCTAATAATTTTCCTGTCAGTGTTGATTTTCCACAATCAACATTTCCCAACAGGCAAATATTCAAAGTTGGTTTTGACATTTTTTTAAATAAATAATATTCTAATGAATAATATTTGTGCTTAAGATAATATATCAATATTTAGTAAGGAGATATGTATAACATTGCAAAAATATTGTTCTTGAATTCAAAGAATTATGATAAAAATTTTATTTCTTAAAGTTTGTTCCTGATGCTTGTCTTACAACTGGACTTGAAGAGGCGGCTTTAAGGAATGATTTCTTCATACCAGTCTTGGAAATAATTACAGAATCCATGGATGGATATTCTTGTTCATTAAAGTTTTCAGTTAAGAATGTAATCAAAGTCTTTTGACATTTCTTCTTCAAGTCATCCTTAGTGGTTTGGAATGTAGTTTGATCACGGAAACCTTTGAATCCATAATCAGCAAATGGTTCCTTAACTTGAAGTTTCTTTGATTTGGCATTATTACTCATAATCTTGAAAAGATTCAAACTATGTTCAATGATAGTATCATCTTGAGAGGAGGTGTATACCTTAATGACTTGAGACATACTGTGGTGATCTTGGAAAACATCTGCAAAAGTATCAGGAATGGCTTCAAAACCTCTTGCAAGTGATCTATAAACAGAAGCACAGCTATCAAGATCAATGTTGGATGCAGTAATGCTAAAGAGGTACTTTTGGAAGAGGAAAACAGTTTCCTTAGTGAACATGCTTTCAGAATAGAGTTGTTCACTATATAATACAGAGTTGTACTGCTTATCGAATGGAATTAAAGCAGCAATAAAGCCTAGTTGGTTTTGTGGTTCAAACTTGAGTTTGTAACTGATAGAGAGGATTTGTTTGAGGAGAGAAATAGTTGCCTTTCTAATGGTGGAGTCATCAATAGCAAGTCCCTTCATGAGAAGAAGAGAAACGGTGAATGAGAAGTGTTGGCCAAATGAAAGTCCAACAGTTTCTTCAAATTCTTTAGTGATGGATAGGTACTTGGAGTAGTCAGATCTGAAAACTTGATTAAAGTAATCACCAATAGACAAGAAACCGTCATGAATATCTCTAGCTTCAAAAAGAATGGCAAAAACTGTACTGAGCAACTTGGTTACAGCAGAATAAATCTTTGTGTTGGCAATGGTCAACAAGAAGAATCCAAAGATAATAATCTTTCTCAAAGTTTCAATTCTATCCTTTTCAACAACCATATTAATACAGAATTGGTTAATTGACAATAGAACAGACAACATTAGCTCATTTTCGGAGAGAGTTTCAACACCACGCTTACCAATAAAGTTAAGAACAAATGGAATCATATCATATGATTGTTCTGAGGTGGAAATAATACTGAATGAGATTAAAGATTTAGGGAACAATAAGAGATTGGCTGTCTTCATGGTATCCTTACATAAGTTGGTAAAGATCTTCAACCAAACACTCTTGATGGTATCACTGCCAGATTTAACGATATCTGAGGTGCTAGTGCTTGGATTAGAACCGTTATGCTCATCATCAACTTCTCCTTCTGTCATATCATTTTCTGTACCATCTTCATCCATATCCTTGGAATTTTCAGATGATTCTTCAATAACACTATGAGTTGCCTTGGATGAGGTTATAATGGTAGAACCAAATTGAGATTTCAAAGTCTTACCCCTAGCTTGAATAAGGCTATCGTAACTAAAGTCAAAGCATTCAATGATTTCCTTAAAGTATCTCATGATATCTTCATACTTGTACATGGTAGTTTCATCGAATGTTACCTTTCCTTGTGAAACCTTATTGACAAAATCAGAGTATGAGGCAAAAGGTTGTGGTTCATGTTCACCACCCATGAAACTTGACTTGATGTCCTTTTCAAGAACTCTCAAATGAAGCTTTTGCAATTTGGCTCTTACATGCTCAAATTGTTCACATGCTGGCAATTCCAAAACAAGGGAGTGAACACAGTTACAACAAATACCATAAACAATTGATCTCAAGTAGGTATCTGAACCAACACCCAAGAAGAGAGAAATAATAAAGAGTACGTATGGCAAATTCTCTAACAAATTGATTTGACTATTAAAAGACAACATAAGGAGATAAGACATGTAAACTGGAATCTTGCCTAGAATATCTTTTGATTTCACCAACTCTTTAACTGTTGCTTTGTTCAAAAGGTCAATATTCAATTCCTCTGTCATGAGTGGTTCAACAATCTTGTTAATGATAAATTGAGCCACATTCCATTGAAGAGGTGAGTGCAACAAAATAGTTCCTAAAATATCGCCAATAATAGATTGTTCTCCATTCATGAGCATTTCACTTGTTGTACCTTGTTTGATAACACTCTCAATAGCAATTCTAATGAGTGGCAAAGAGAGTTTACAGACGTGCTTCCAAACATTTTGTAATTTTGGATAGATTTCTTCATTGGCAATACAGAGTTTGGTAAAGTTTTCGAACCAATTCTTAATTGTTTCGGTCTTTTCATCAACTTCATCAACACTAGTAGAAATTTCAAATCTTGACAAGTTATCGAGCCATGGGAGGATGAAGGATGCAAACTTCAACTTGGACTTATTTCCTTGGATTGTCTTGAAGGCATTGAGAGCTTCACAAATGAATTCTAAAGTGAGTTCAGGCTTATTTCTGGCAACGTATTCACTAATTCTCAAAACAGTATTTTCAGTATTTCTTGGAACATAAGCAGCATCACTTTCTAAAATCAAACCATGAGAAGAAATCTTGACTTGTTCAAAGATAGAAGCAAGTAACGAATAAGCACTAGCTCTAATTGGAGTGTGTTTAGAATCGAGATTGAAGAATGAAATAGCAAGGAGTTGACCTGGTACATCTTGAAGTTTAAGTCTCTTAAATTCACGTTCAAGAGATTTTCCAGTCTTTGTTCCTCTTGATTTTCTTTCAACATAGTTTCTAATACCTTGCATAATTTGGTCTCTTTCTTCAATGGTTTGAGCTCTAAAGTTGTAGGCTGCTTCAGCATCTTCATCATCAATATACTTGACAACAAAATCTTTAGTGGCCTTGCTTGATTTACCAAACAATGACTTCTTTACAGCAATATTGGCAATCTTTGTTACATTGACATGTTCCAAACAATCTGCTGGTACCTTGTTATTAATAAACTTTTCTCCCTTGATAACAATAAACATGTATTGATCAAAGAGTCTAATTTCACAATCAGTTGTATGAGAAGCAAGAACAACTTCAGTATTATATATTATTTCACTCTTTTCATACAATTGTTGAGTGAGAGATGGAAGCATAGAATGTTCAGGTTTGACAAGTTCTAATGGATCCTTTGAGGTTGGAGTCTTTGATTTTTGGTCAGTGACAGCTGGCAAAGAGCTGGTAGTAATGACCTTCCAACGATTATGACTTAACATGGAGACAAGCTTCTTAGTGGTCTTGTTGAAGAATGTATTTGGGTTAACCAAGTAAATTTCTTGAAGATTCTTCTTTGCACCTTGTGGAATGTGTTTGGAAAGTTGAATAAATACAGACAAACGAATATCAAATTTCTTTGTCAAGAAGGTAGAATCTACAACAATGATATAAGGTTCCTTCCAAATGGTTTCCATACTCTTGAGAACATAGTACAAGTATAAATCAAGAGAGAATCTAGTCAAATCCAAATTGTAAGGAATGAAATAAACTATACGTTGATTCTTAGCATTCTTGTGTTCACTGATAGAGAAGAATTTCATTTCAGCAATCTTTGAGGTATCTTTCTTTTCATTCTTTCTGAGCAATTCCTTAAGTAATGGATTGGAGAACTCATCATCCTTGCTAAGCTTTACAGAAAGTCTTCTTCCTGTTTTTTCTTCTTCAGCTGGTTTACCAAATTGTTCAATAGCCTTTTCTAAGAGATCATTGAGAGATTTACCGTTTTGTTTAGAGGATGGCTTTTCATTGATATCAACTTCTTCCAATACTTCCTTTTCCTCATCTTCAATATCATCATAGAGTGAACTTAATTCTTCTCTCAATGTATCAGCATAGTTATAGAAGAATCTATAGAGAACTTCATATGCTTCCTTCAATTCATCTTCAGTGACTGTTTCTTCAATTCTCAAAACTTCTTCATTTTCAACTATTGGAGCAGCAATCTTTTCAAAATAGGTTTGAATCTTGTTAAGATTAAGTCTAATAATATCAACAAAATTCTTCATGAATTCTTCCTTCTTGGAGTCAACAATACCGTTTGCCAAGTTTTGAACCAACTTTGTAAGAATGATTGCATAACGTCTAGAGTCAGCAGGAATATCACTTCCTGACAAACCATACAAATGTGGAGAAGTGATGGCTGGACAAATCAATCTCAAAATTAAGAAACCACCAACTGCAATATATTTAAAGTCAAATTGTTCATCATTGTCATCATCTGGTTTAGTGAATTTCTTACCAACTTCTTCGTACAAATATCTGCAATACATTCTGAAGGTGTAAGGTGTTTGTTGGACTGAATCACAGAGGCAGTCAATAAATTCTTGTAATACTTCAAGAATATTTTCAACGTTTTCTTCAACGCTTTCTCCTCTTTGTTGAGCCTTCAGTGGATCGATTTCAAATTTGGTTGGCTTAGTACACATAGTATCGATGAACCCACCAATAACAGTTGTCAAGTATGGGTTACTGACTCTCAAACAGTACTTCTTTAAGAGTTTAGTAGAGGTTGAGTTAGCTCTGAAAAGAGTTTCAGGTTGTGATTTTGGTGTGGTTGCAACTTCTCTGGTAACACTTTGACGGAACAAATCTAATAAATTCTTATCAATTTCACCCTTTGATTGATAAACTCTAATAACAGCTTCACACAAATCATCTTTTTCTGGATTCTTGCACTTATCAAAAAGTGCAAAAAGAGCTCTCTTTCTATTGGTAAAGACAAGTTTGTTGATAATTTCTTGGTATTCAGAAATAGAAACTCTGTCTTGCTTATTTTTTTCTTCTTCTTCAACCAAAAGTCCCTTCTTGATCAATTCAGATAGCAATCCCAAGAATGTTGATCTAATAGTGTTATTATTATCGTAGACCTTTGACATGTAATACTCAAGACCAAAACTGACGTTTGTTTGCAATAATCTAGAGAAGGCCTTGTAAATTGTAGCTGTAAAAGTACTGTCTTTAGCCTTTTCAAGGAATCTCAATAAGAAAGCAAAGTATTTTGAATATTCTTCTCTTCCTTTTTCATCGTTTGCAATAACCATACCATTGATAAGGGAAGTACATGCCTTCATGCACAACAAATCAAGATCGGTGTAGAGTTTCTTGACTTCAGTTGAAACTTGGGAATTGTTTTCTAGAAGAGGAGCCTCAGAAGCAACACGAGGAGTTGATACACTTGCTCCGGTTGATGTCTTTTCTTTAAAGACAGAATCAGTTGTCCATTCCATAACGTGACCAATGATTGTTCTTCTCAACTTTTGTTCTTCAATGTTCTTGAAAGTCAAGTATTCAACTTTGCTCATCAAAACTTCAAGGAATTGACATAATTTCTTCTTCAACTCAAGGACATCCTTGTTATCAAATTCGCTGTGTGTACAATAGTTAGCAAAGAGATCAGTAATGGAATCAATTTCTTGAGCAAGAGAAAGATCAGTATTAGTATCTGGATTTTCAACAATTGTCTTGAGAATGTGAAGATATTGATCAACAAGTAAGTTATTCTTTTGACTAATAACAAATGTTTGTCCGAATTGTTCTTGAACTGAAGCCTTCATGGCAGTGAACAATTTAGTGAAAAGACTTGGTGATAAATCAGTAGAAACAGAGATGGTTACCATTTGTCTGACATTGACATCGTCTGAAATAACTTGTTTCATCAAGTCATCCATATAACTGTCAACATTATTGGCACTTGTTGCCTCTGGCTTTAAGAAATCAAGAACAAAGCTTGAATCTTCATCCTTTGTATCTTGAATGCATACACCACCGAGAGCACATAGCAAAGAGGTGTAATTAGGGAACAAATCTCTCAAGGTAATATTTGAAGCAGAATCTTCACTCTTGAGTTGATCAAGAAGTTCCTTCCATCTGTTATAAACCTCACCAAAGGCTTTCAAAATGGATGGTGTTTGAGTTTCAACTCTCTTGAAAAGTTGGATTTGTGACTTTCTTTCATTGTAAAATTTACCATTCAAGTCAATGCTTGCCAATTGTCTGTAAAAATTGTAATTCAACTTCTTAATGTTGTGATTATTCAAAATTTCAATTTGGTCACAAACATCTCTCAAACATCTTGTAGTAGACTGCCAAATCTCCTTATCAGTTGAGCAAAGGCATACCAATAAGTTACTACATAAAACTTCAAGAGTATTAATTCTGTCAGGGTTAGTTCTAATGTGTTCCAAAAGTAAATAAGTGTCTCTGTTAGCAATATAGAATTTCTTAGCACAATAGGTAATGTTTCTCAAAAGGAAAAGTAAGGTCTTTGTTGCTTGCAATTGTTCCAATTCATTAAGAAGGAAAAGAGCAGGTGATAGTCTTGACAAAACTCTTGTTGAGATAGTACTGAATCCAACAAATAAATCATCTCCCCAGTTCTTAATATATTGTTCTAAGAAAAGCTTTTGGAAAAGTCTAGTTATTTGATCTTGTACAATTGGGTCAGAATTTAGCACAAAGAAGTCAGCCAAATAGGCAAAATTATTGATATTTTGATCGGATTCGTTTGACTTTGTAAGGAAAAACCTTGGATCAGCACAAAAAACGTGAAGAATTGTGTTAACAGTATCAAACATTTTAAAGTTTGGTTGACCTGCGAATGATCCCAATCCAGTAGGAGAATTACTACTGTCCTTACCACCTACTTTCTCTCTTAAAAGAGCTGCAAAGCCTTTCTTTGGTGTTCTAAAGGATGCACTTGGTGCTAATGTTGGAGTATTATCATCACCAGTTTCTCTTGCTTTACCTTTGAATTGATCTGTAGTCGAAATGAAAAATTCACGAAGAGATGAAGCAAGTACTTTAAAGTCTACTTCTAACTTTCTATTGTAGGTAAATTGAGAAGATCTATCAGTAAGAAGGAAAAGAAGTACTTTGGCAACTGTTTGTTTTTGCTCTAAAGTACCATCTGCCATTATTGGTATCATTAGTTGTTTTTTGCATTTTTCTGGGCTTCTTCTATAAAGTGTTGTTACATAAAATGTCCACATTTCGAGTTCATTCAACTCTTCTGGACTATAGCATTTAGAAACTTTTCCTGTTGTTGGTTCTGGTACAAAAATGGAAAGGAATTTTTCTTCCACCAAAAGAGAAAGAACAGCAAAGGCTGTTTCTACATCTGATGGTGCATATGATACAGCTCTATAAATGTCAATCAATGGAGGTAAAATAAGAGACTTATCCTTATCTTCCATTGCTTTTAAGAGATCTTTGTGAATAAATGTTGTCATATTTTCACTGCCACCAAACTTTTTACCATTACCTGCCTTTACACACTTTAGAAGATCATCTGCAGTCAAAACGCATAAAGTGGCAAGTGCTGGCCATGTCTTGTTTTTTTGTTTCTTTCCTGTTTGTTTATAAATATTATCAAATGTTTCTCTAGCTGTATTAACAATTGAAGCATTTGGATTCTTAATGATATCAACAAATTCATTATTATAGTTTGTAATAAAGTTCCATATAGCTAATCTTAAAGGAGGTGTTAAGACTTCCAAATATTTGGTAAAACCTTTCATGTTTTCATTGACTGCCTTTAAGAGTTTTTCTAAATTACCAACTGTCCAATTTACATATTCGATCAGTTTGAAATGTGAAAGAGAGGAAGAGAAAGGAAGTTTGTCAGATTGAAGATCAGTATTAAAACTGATATCCATACAGTTATTATTAAGTGATGTAGGTAATGAATCACCAACAATAGTCTTGAAAACAGTATCTGGTTTACAAACACTTATTTTGAATAGTATCTCCATACATCTATAGGAAATTTGTTGTTCAAGATAATTATTAACTGCTGTTTTTTGGATTTCTTCTTGTGTGGCATCATAGAACATATCATGTTGTAATAATAATCTAGTGGAAACTAATTGAATAATGTTGAGAGCTGTTGCTTCGTCCAATTCTTTTGGTTGAGTAAAAGTGGCAGCACTTCTCTTTACATTAAAGTTTCTTTGTGATTTTGATGAAGATTTCTTTTGTTTTCTTTGCTTGTAAGCATTTAAATAATCAAGAGATGCTCCCAAGCCACTTGGTGATCTACCTCTTTCATGCCCATATTCGAAATCACTGATCTGATTGAGAGATCCATTTTTAATACTTGGAGATTCGTTACCTTCATTTGTACTTTCTGTAATTGTTGAAGCTGATTGTGATGGTTGATGAGCATTCTTTGATTGTTCCTTAACAAGTGCAACTAAATCTTCATCTTCTTCTTCATCTTGTTCTTGACGTCTCTCTTCCAACAAGAGATCATCATTATCAAATTGACAGAACAAATTGTTCAAGTGATGATTTGGCAAAACAAGCTATTAAATATATTATTAATAATAATAATAACAAATTCATATTGATGAACCTCACAATAATTCATACTTACTTCCTTATTTTCGATGGCAAAATTTATATAATCCGATAATAGATTGAGAATGATGAGTTTTGATTTGTTGATCAACTCTAATTTTGTTCTTTTCTCAGAAGGTTTTAATGTAGCATTGATTGTGGTCTATATATGATAATTTGTTTTTGTTAGATAAATATCAACATAATAACCAGCATGATGATGATATTATTAGTTGATCATCATTTTGTTTTGTTGTTGTTATTGTTGAAAAATTGTGTCATTGGAAGATACAAAATTGTGGCGCCAAACATGATGATAATGAAATTTGCAACAAAAAAACCATGTAGCGTTAATAAACCACTACAGCCTTCTGAAAAACTACTTACTTTAGAGACATTATCGTAGAGATCAACGAGAGGTTGAACCACTTTGTGTAAGTCAATATTTGGCAAAACAATCAATTCATTGAGTGTTTTAATATAACCCTTCAAATTGAAACCCTTTCTTCTTTGTGATGAAGGTGTACTTGGAAGAGAATCACCAATTCTTTCAACAGTAGTCAACACGAGTAAATGTTCCATTTTCTATAGAGAATGAAGAAGCAGAAGAATTAGCAGATAGTTATTGTTATTGGTCCTCTTTCTAATAATTGTGTATTCTTCTTTACTTACTATACGAGAACACGATTGATATTGTTACAATGATGCTGATGATTAGTGTCAACAGTGATTAGTGAAATTTTGATTCGTTGCCTCTGTTTGTTGTTGTTACGAATCGTTTGTTGAGTAGCCCTCTTAATTTTTGATTACCTGGGCTGGTGGCAGAATGAAATTTTTTTTAAAGTGTGAAAATGTGACAAGTGTCGCAGCGTTGATCACAACTGATTGATGGATGCTTGCCAATATCTTCCCTATTGTGCTTGATATGTTTCACAACAACCACTCTTGGGCCCTCAAACTCTGAAAATAAACGGTTGGAAAGACTTTGGTCATTATGAATTCATAATGAATATTATCATTTTACAATAATGAATTTGTAATTTGTGTAATTAAATATTTTCTAGTATTCTTCAAAAAGTCTTCATTTTGAAATGCCTCTTTCTCATCTGTATTTTGTGAAATAGAATTGAGAAATGTCACAATTCAGTAAACCATCCTTCCATTTCGTAAGATCTAGTAAAATAGTTAATGGTTCACTTGAAGTAGCCTTACTGTACCATCTTTATTTATGAAGTGTGGCAATTTGAGTTATGGAATATTCAAGGTGATTCGTGCCTCTATTTGCTTGTACTGTAGTTCAAAATCTTCCAATCTTTTTTGTAATGGAAACTACTTTTTTGAGGCTACTGCCAAGCTTAATATAGGAAAAGTTTTACGAATGCTAAAAGAAATACTGAAACATTGAATTAACTCTAACTGTTAACATGTCAGTATTTTACTTTCTAGGATTACTTTATTTTTGGAAGAATCTAGTTTAACTTATCTTAAACATTTACTAAGAGTTTACAAACACTTTGAAAACAATTTTATAAAACTGTATGCAATGTCATCCAAAATTGCAAACAAGCAAATAAATTGTGACTTGGCATAACTAAATAGAAATGATTTTGAAGTGAGAACCTTCGTTAAAGTAAACCAGAAAAAATTGCCTTGTTGATTTCTGCTTCCGTCATCTTTTTTAATTTATTATCAGCATGTCTTCGGAGGAGAATCAGGAACTCCATCAACAAGCAACGACAACAACAACAGCAACAGAGGAAACAATACCTTCTTCTGTAAATGACATACCTTCTTCATTGAATGTTGCTGCTTGTGATGAAGGAAGGGAAAAAGAAGAAGAGGATCAAATATCGGATAAAGACAATAATAATGAAAAAACACAACCAATATTGGAGGAAGAGAATACTGAAAAAGATACTAGTACTGTAGGAGAAACAAGTCCATTGGATCACGAAGATGAAAATTCTGAAAATAATTTTGTTGATGAAAATTTGACAAACAAAACTGATGATCATCAACATGATCATCTTGGTTCTGTACAACAAAATGGTATTGTTAAAGAGGAAGAAGACAAAAAGGAAGAGAAAATTGTCAAGCCTGATTTGACTCCGAATCCAGAAGATTTACTAACATTTGAAAATGGTTTTATTGAAAAGTATAAGAAAATTAGTGATGTTTATAAAGAAAGGCTAGCCCGACATTCAAACATGCAAGAATTGCTTGGTAAGTTGTCAATTTAAGTGGAATAATTTGGTTACGATATAGACATTATAGATTTAATTGATTGTGAGATTAAAATGTTAGATTTCATCAGAGATCAATATGCCACAGAGTTTGACGAGTACAATATTACAAACTTTAAAAGTGCTAATGCAATTTGGTTTCTTCAAACACATATGGTTTCTATTTTAAATCACACAACATCACTTCATATGATTGAAGATAATGATTTACTTTCAAAAATTGGAGATTTGATTAATGCTGCGATTCGTGATTATATTTATATCAAAATAACCTATCCTTTCGATCTATTTCAAAAGATAATGGAAAGTCAAGCAGAACAAAAGTCAGAAAAGACTGAAAAGAGTTCTGAATCTCTTGAATTGGAAGAATCTAAATCCTCATCCCAACTCAGCGAAAAGGAGAAGCAATCACAAATAGTTCAAAAAATTAATCTCATATCAAAATCACTTGTTCTTGGAGTTGATGTTTGTAGATCACTAACCTTCCAAAAACATGAAATTTATTCAAAAAATCTTGTGTTTGCAAGAGACAACAAAATGGCAACAAATGAGTATAATCACTATATGGAATTAATTCAAAAGCATCCACAAAGTACATGGAATGAAGATTTTGCAAACTGTATTGTCTCCACTCCAAAACCAAAAGGAGAAAATATTCTTTCCAAATTATGTTGCAAGGTTAGTTTCAATTTTTATTACAAATCATGAATTTAATAACCTTATCTCTAAATAGTCAATTAACATTTTTGCCCAAAACGGAGGTTATTATTTATTTAATGAACTTTTGAAAAAATACAAAGATTTACCAATAAGAGTAATAGAAAAGATTATTGATACAATTTCCTATCAATTAGCATTTCTTGATCAAAAAACAAAAGAAACTTTTGTACCTGAAATTATCAACTCAATGTTTATTTATATAGATTCTCTTTCGGATGAAATGTTGAAAATAGAAGAGAAATTCAAAGATTTACTATCAGTTTTCAGAACAAAAATCATCTCATTATATTATAACGATGAGAAGAGTTTAGAATTTTATGACAGATTGAAATTGCAATATTTTTATAGGTTATTGCATTGTCACTCAGTTGAAAGAAAAATGTTGGGAATGAACGAAATTAGATCTCATGTAGACACTCTTATCAAGGCTGACCAAATGTCAAAACAGGGAGGATCTAGTCCACAGTTAAATGGATCTAATGATTCTAATATGTCATCTGTAAATATATCAAAGAAAGATTTACATATTAGAATTTTTATAGCATGGTCGAGTGAAAAGAAATTACTAGGTTATTTATTTGAAACTGATGTACATAGAGAGCTTGTAAGACAATCTTTATGTAAGTTTTATTTATCAAATCACAATAATACTTAACATATCAATAGCAATACTTAAATTATTAGCCCAACATAAAGGGTTCTCGAGAGAGGAACTTGACTTGTTGTGGAATGCCTCTGTTGACAAGCACGAGGCAACAGAAAGATTAATTCTTTCTACTCTCGCTGGTTTTGTACCATTACTTTCCCTTAATGATATTCTTTATTTATATTCAAAAATTGAAGCTATTCCAGTTGAAACAATCAGCAAAAGAGATCACATGGTAGATTTCCTTTCTCATTTTACTATTTGTGCTGTTAATTCATTTTCAAAGTTAAAAGAAAAGAAAAAGAACTGGTTTGCTCTCGATTTACTTTGGAAACTAGCTATTGGCGGAAATAGAAAAGCATTTGAATGTCTTTCAGAATTATTCAAACAAGATTGTTTTGAGAGTATTAGAAAGACATACCTGTTAAACTGTATCGATATGCTCAAGTCAAGACACAATACATCAGGAACCGTATCTCTTATGAAGACATTGTTAGCTACATACTCCCTTCAAAAGAGAAAGAAAAAACAATCAACATGGGGTGTAATAGCATCTATTAACGAAAAAACAAATCTTATGGATCACTTTTTTACAAACTTTGAAATCCAATTTCCAAGTGACATGGAAAATACCAGTCAGACAGACCAAGAACTGAGGGATCAATTAGACTTTTTGGAGTTTGTTATTAGAAACTCTCCTATTACCCTTTCTGTTAAAAATTGTATTGTTTTATGGACTCATGGTAACAGGGACATTGTTATGGAATGGATGGCAAAGATGAGAGAAAATTATTGTGAAGATTTTACCTCTTTTGATGATGAAACAACTAGATTTGTATTTGAAGAGTTAGTTTGTTCGCTGAGTAAGTCAGAGTCATTGTATAGTGGTATTTCAGAGAATTATTTCAACTGCTTCCGAACATTCTTTAAAGCTGTTAATATTATTGCAAGAAGATTGGAAATTATTTATGAAACAGTTGGAGAAAATGAAAACATCATTATCATTGAACAACCAAACTCAGGAAAGAAGTTTATTTCTAAAATCATCACAAAAGGAAAAGAACTTCTTGAGCCTCCTGTTCCATCACAAGAGATGGAGGAGGATCCTGTTCCTGTTGTAAAGAAAATTAAGAAAATAGATGTGTTATCAGATGATTTAATTGGTTTAGTACACTTTTGGAATTTAATTTTATCTGTGAAAGATCAAAAGGTGTTAAGACAGGCAATAGAATGCTTGAACAATTACAAGACAGGTTATGCAAAAGAGTTGAAACATTTTATAGCTGACTATAGAGAAAAGTTCATTGCAAAATGTATGGAACTTCTTAAACAGTACAGTAGTCCATCTAAGAGAAAAGACGCCTACATTTGTAACATCATTAGTCTTATGATTGATTATATTGTAGTAGCAAATCAAAAGAGTGGTGGAGGAGGATATAAAGGCCACGGAATTAGTTTCCTTGGATATCCAATCACTTTGAAGATTAGTTGCTACACAAATGAAAGTTTTGTCAAATCGGTTTCTTCAAAGATGAAAATATATGAATTGACAAATATTATTGCCTCTGAACTCGGTGATGAATCTTCGGCCCATTTATTAAGATTGGAAACTGAGAAAGGTGAAGATTTATCATGTTACAAACACAAAACACTGGAAGATCTTGGTTTAGAATCAAGTGCTGAAATTTATGTCAGACCAATTTCATCAAGAGATATCACATTCTCCCTAACGAGTAATGCTTTGAAAGCTCTTGGAGTTCCTGAACTTGGTAATGTTTTCCTCTCTAGAAATAGATCTTCAGCAAAGAAAAGTAAGAAGCAAGAAGGAGGATTTTTAGCATCTTCTACTCATAACGATGATGGTCTTGATGAGGAATATGTGATATTGAACTTGGAGGATGGATTGAACCCTGCGAGCATTCTATCAAAAGAAAGCCATTTCTCGCTATTGTTCTCTCTTCTTGACGGTTCAAGCAGTGATGAGGTAGCCAAAAAGGTTTGGATGTTACTAATGCATTTACCTACAAATTATGCAATGTCCAAAAACATCTTAAATATTGAAAACATGCAAGGTAATATTAATTGGATGGAAATTTTACCAACTAACAGTACCCACAAGCTATTATATTGTTTACAAATTCTTGATTCAAAGTTTTCCAAAAATTTCGTTCCTGGATCGAAGATGTATGACAACTTTGTGAAATATGGAGGTTTGAAGCATCTTGTGGATGGATTGTTATGTATTGGAAAGAGTTATAAGAATCCTCTCCAGAAACAATGTGCTGCTTTACTATTGAAGATCTTGAATAAGTTTATTCCAGAAAATAATGAGAGATTGAATGAAATTTTACTCAATTTACTTGAAACTTTAAGAGTATTAATAGTAGAGGAAACAGAAAAAAGGGTGAATAACTCTAATCTTTCTGATTCATCTACCACACACAGACCTACTACCTCTTTCCAATATAATCCTCAATTTACTACAACCTCGGAGTATGCCCACTTTATGCTTTACGACTTTGCCTTAACTACCATTCTTAAAATAACATCATCCAAACCAGATTTATTACAACTACTGCTCACTCATGAAACAACATTGAGCACTACAAAGAGTCTCCTATTCTCTCCTGATGCCAATATTAGAAAGAAGTTCGCCAATACAATTTTGGAATTATCTTCTTCCTCTAGTCAAGCTTCAAGTTATTTTATTACAACACTCTATAATATAATGATGACTGAGGACATTGATTTGTACAAGGATAGATGCGATGATTATTTCCTTTTATTGGAAAATTCTATTATGAACTCTAAACATTTTACAGAGATTTCACAAGAGGAGGTGTTTACCATAGTTAAAAAGATATTTGATAGACCAATTATTGAGGAGAATAATACCTCTGCTGCAGATCAAGTTTTGATTGGTTACTTTAATATTGCAAAGGCTCTCATAAGAACTTATCCATTCCTTAAGCAAGAATTACACAAGCATATCAAGGATTTGTTTTTGAATGGTTTGTTTGAGGTACCAAAATTAACTGATCAAACAGATAATTTGCCTTTACCAAAATGTAAAACAAAAGAAAGTAGGAGTGCAACATTCAATTTTTTACAAGAAGTTGTTGATGGTTGTCCTGATAATTACTTGGAAATTTTACAGTTATTAGAAGAATATATTCGAGGTTGTGAACAACCACAAAATTGGCAAGTCTACCCAATCTACCAAGAAAAGAAGAAACCATTCGTAGGATTGAAAAATCAAGGAGCCACATGTTATATGAACTCTTTACTTCAACAATTCTTCATGACTATTCCTTTCAGAAAGGAGTTAATCACTGTTAATACGGATGAACTGCCTACCAACGAAAAACTTCAAGAAAATGTTTCTTTGTTGAGAGAGGTCCAGGATATGTTTGCCTTCTTAGAGTATGGACGTAAGAAATTCTATGATACACGACCATTTTGTAGGGTTTACAAAGTTGATGGCAGACCTGTTGAATGCTCAACTCAACATGATGCCAACGAGTTTTTCAACTTATTTATGGATTGTGTAGAAGAAGCATTAAAGTTCTACAAGAAGGATTATCTCCTGAGGGATGTTTATGGAGGATCTCTTCTCCATCAAATTATCTATGAAGAAAATATTTCAGAGAGACCAGAAAATTTCAATATTATCAGTTTAGAAGTTAAAAATAAGAGAAATATTATGGAATCCCTAGAATTGTACTGTCAAGGTGAAATGCTCGAAGGTAATAATCAATATTTCAGCGACAAGCTTGACAGACATGTAGACGCACTCAAAAGAACTCTTATTAAGGATCTACCTAATGTTCTGATTCTTCATTTGAAACGATTTGATTTTGATTTCAGTCTAATGGTAAACAGAAAAATCAATGATCGTGTGGAGTTCCCACATTTATTAAATATGGAACCGTATACAGTAGAAGGTATGGAGAGAAAGGAAAATAGAGGAATCTACGACATTCCGCCTCCTCATAGACCTGACGATTACTACCAATATAAACTAGTTGGTGTTTTGGTACACTCAGGAAGTGCTGACTCTGGCCACTATTACTCATTCATAATGGATAGAAAGAATGAAGAAGAGAAGTGGTACGAATTTAACGATGAAGAAATTAATCCATTCGATCTTAACAGAATGGAAATGGAATGTTTTGGAGGACTGGTAGAACATAATATTTCAGGAAAAAAGACATCCCTATTCAGATGTAATAATGCCTACATGTTATTCTATCAAAGGGTGAGCGTGCTTAATGCTGAATCATTTGAAACAAAGGAAACTTCAGCTATTCAACCAGCCTCTTCTGTAATGACCCAGGTTTGGAAGGAAAATGAAAAATTCTATCATTACAAGAATATTTTCGATGAATCTTTTGATTCATACTTGTTTGGTAATTTAAGTACCTACCAGAGCAATGATTATGCCATGGTGTTGAGAAACGTTCAGCTATCATGTAATTATATCTTTGGATATTATATCAGATCTTACAATCCAAAGATTGTTAAGTGGATTACCTATTTGAAAGATACTTTTGAAAAACATAGTAGAATTGCAAAGTGGTTCCTAGTAGAGTTTGCTAGAACAGATAAATGGAAGATAGATTCTCTACTGATATGTCCATCCCAAGAAATACGTGATTCTGTTGTGGATTTAATAATAGCAACTTTGAGATCACTATATCCAGTTGAGAATCTATTTGAGTATTTTGAAAAGGAGGAATGGAGATTTACCACTACAAAGACCATGAACAATTATCCTAATTTTGATGAGCCAATGGAAGTAACAGAAAAAGACTATGAATGTTCTTCAGGATTCTTTATTGATTGCATGATTGATATGTTGAGCATTGTTCCACAATTCCACAAATCTACAGCTCATTATTTCAGATTATTGGAAGATATTGTTTCACTTGGTCCAATTTCTTACAGATTGTTGTGTGTTAAGAGACAATTAGTCTCAAAACTTGCTCTAATTTTGGGTGGACTATTACCAAAACATCAAAACGAAGGCGAACCAATTTACTTTAATTTTAATCCAAAATATTCTATTGTTACAACTTTTGGACAATTATCAGTTGCTTTTATAATTAGAATTTTCAGTATCTTGGTTAGAACATGCTCTGCATCTACCACAGCTAGACCTCCAACAATTATGGACACTGACCAAGAGGATTCCATTACTGGAGTAATTGTTTCCTCTGGACCACTCATTAATCCAAATCCAAGAACCGAACCGTACGCTTATAGTCTTTGTTCATCAGATAAGGACAAACTATTCCACAGACTCTTCTTCAATCATTTAGTCAACATGAATATCAGATTGCAAGATATTTCAGCCATGTTATGTCATTGGTGTTGGGATAGTATTTCTATTTCCAAAAAATTCTGCGAATTGTTTATTCAATCAATAATTGTTAACTCGGCAACTGAATCCTCAGACTCATACTTCCTTGTATTCGATTCATTGTTGACTATTGAGGATTCTTTACAATCAGAAAGAGTAGGATTTTGCTTGGATCAGTACTTTGATTCATTGAGCAGAATGACAGATAATAATTCATTACTTTACTGCATGAAACATTTGGCAAAGATTGACAGGATGAATGCGTATACAAAGTCTTGGTGGGACAATAACTTTAAATCTATTGAAACAATCACATCGAAAAAGGGATGGACCATTGAAAGAAAGCAATAAATTATTTATTTTGTATTTACAGAGTTGTTGGATAATCAAGTTAGTTTAATTGTCTAGCCTCGAATGTTCTATATTGGGGAAGATGAAAGGATGGAGTAGATGTTTTCTCGTAAAGTTTGGAATCTGGTTGGGTTTTAAGGGTAGAGGACAAATTTTGAAGCAAATGCACAAAGTAGGTCCATGAAAGTGAATAATGAATTATAGAGTCAACATGCGTTATATTTGTCGAATCCACTTCAATATAAGGAATTCCAAGAGTGTCAGCAAATGGTTGGTAATGTTTGTTTCGATTTTCTAAATATTTCTCAACATCTTGAGGTTTTAGCAAGTCATGTTTTGTACCGACTAACACAAACTCTGGCATGGTATCAATTTTTAAATTTCCTGAAACAACTTGATTTACCCAAGTTTGCAACTTGAAGAAGGATGATAAATTCGAAACGTCAAAAATTAGAATCAAAAAATTGATTCGTCTAAGGAAATAAGGAGGCATAGTTGTCACATCAATACTCTGGTAATTATCCCAAATTTGATAAGAGCTGGAATTGTTCATCTTGTTAGAGTTATTGGAATGTAAGACAACATTATCGTCTAAGCAGTTAGCTTCTGATTCAAAATTTTCAATCTGAGAACGGAAAGTATTAAAGAAGGTAGTCTTTGACATGTTATGATCGCCAACAATAGCAACTCTGGCAAATGCATCTTTTGCAAACCTCTTTTCATTTCTTTTTCCAGATGGTGATGTATTTGCAGGTTTGAACAAGTCGTTCATTAACTTGAAAACTGAAAATATTTGGTCACAATCAACTTTTCCATTAGCTTCTTCCCAAAGCTTTATTTCCTTCAAAATAAAGTCTTTGAGAGTGTCTAACTTTTTAATTACTTTAGTGAGATCATTGTACTCACAATGTTTCTTGTTCAAATATTGTTCGTTAAGGGATATTTGACATTTACCACTAATGGCATATTGTGGAACGTCATATTTCTTCTTATTGATACTCGCATTACTAGAATTCAATTGATTCACAACCAACTCTACAGTCATCATTCTTAAAAATTGAATTTTTGACTTGAATCCTCTCATCTTGTAAATTGATTTCCACTTTCTCTGACATTGCATCAATACAGAAAGAGTGTACAAATCCGAGTATTTGAATATTTCATACCACATTTCAGAGGGAAGGAAAAACTTTTTATCATCAACAACCAATGTAGATGAAGGTGTCGGAGTTGACATTCCTTGGTCATTGCAAAATAAACAATCACATTGCTCAGCAGAAGGGTGGTGGTGATGATGATGATGCGAGACAATTGTGAGTGGTTTTAAATTATTTGGTGATTTCAGAGGGGAGGACATTGAAGAAGATCATGTATTGTTGTTTTTCTTCTTAATTTCTGTGAGAGAGAGGAGAATTTCTAGATAATATCAAAATTCAAAAATTGGAAATTGATAGAAGTGTAATAATTATTAATTAATAGCAAAGGAGGAGGTGGAAAAACAACTTGTTTCGTTCTTTTAAGCATGTATTATATTCAGCGACTACCACGGCAACAGGAGGAGAGAATCACACGAATTTCCAACCATAAATTCCAATCATCAATTACATCAAATACTTACCTTTAAACCTTCTTGATAATAATAAATTTGCTACTATATATTGAATCTTTCAAAGATGAACCAAACACGCTCCGATATAAAGCCAATAGAAAGGGTTTCAAAATAACAAAGAGAGAAGTTTGTGTTCTTCAGAGTTGAGGTGAGACCAAGGAGCGGAGGCAGATATTTTTTGCAAGCCTAAATTTATCTGATTTTTGCGTCTGTTTGGAATTTGAACATTTTGCAAACAGGCCAACAGCAAGCTTTGTCGTTAAGGTTCATATTCGGGTGGATTGATACGTGATGTATTAATATTAATATTATAATCAGGTATTGAGTTTACAATAGATTTTTTAGAATTGTGAGTTATTGTCCAAAAATGATTGTTGTATGAAGGTTTTATTGAGTGATCAGCCTCTTAGATTGTTGGATTTGACCTTTTTGGTGTGGCCACGATTCGACTTTCCTTGTGAATTGGAGTTCAAATGATTGGAATTTCTGGTATTTGAATTATTCTCAATATTCATAACAGTTTTCAAGTGAAATATTAAATCATTTCTTAGGGAATTGGAATTAGTCGAAGCATTTCTAACGTTTGATGATTTCCCTCCATTTTTCTTTACGGCTCCTTCAACAACTGTTTGAAAAAACATCAAGAAAACAAGTGACAATGTCAATAATAGACCAATGAAAATGAATCTCTTCATGATGTTGAGCTGTTTTTTTTAATGTTGTAGTAGTTCAATATGTTGAAAGCATGAAACAGTATTAATAATCAATAATAAATAAATATTAAATAGTTTATCGGAATTATTTACAAGAAATAAATTTTAAAAAAATGGTATGTTTTGTTTGCTGGATTTGTATGGAGAGGATTAACTCACCATTTAGTCGATGTATGTGAGGATTAAAAGAGCAAAAACAACAGTTTTTTTACATTGTGATCCTATTGATACAATCTTACAATTGAAGGAACGTATTGACCAAGTTTTAAATATTCCTGTTGATCATCAAAGATTATTCCGAGGACTTGAAGAGGATGAAGAATTACAAAATTCAACAACACTGGAAGAATTACAATTGGAAAAGGCACATTTAGGACCAATATTATGTTTGACTTGTTTTGATGATGACCAACAAGTTTGGGAAAGTATTAATATTCCAAATCCTGCTACTGAAGAAGTTGAGGAAGCAGAAGACGAAGAATAATTGTGTAAATAATAATTGGAATTTATTTGAATAGTTTTTTAGCAAGAATTTGAACATCTTGTTGTGTTTTGATTTCTGCTTGTGAAACTTTTTCCTTCAGTATCTCAATATTTTGTCTCTTAAGCTCATTATCCCTCTTCTTTTCAATTATTGTATTGAAACTGGATTCAATCCTAGATTCCATTTCAGCTCTCTTTCCTATCAAATGTTCAATATCTGCATCAATGGATTTGTTTAATTTTACAATATCATCAAAATCATTCTTTTCTTCATTCTCTAGTTGTTTGATTTCGCTTTCTCTGACTTCAACATATTGCATTATTTTACAGTAAATAGTTCTATAGTGTTTGAGTTTTCTCCACAGTAAGTCTCTTTCATTACCACCTTCCTCAGAGAGAGACAAATCACCAAAATCATAGGAAGCTGTAATATCCTCGCTAATAAAATCCAATGTATCTTGTCTCGTTACATTCCACACAGCAAATGATTCATCAGCTTCCGATTTTAATTCAGTGTTATTTTCCTTTAAAGTTTTTATATTATTTTCCTTCTGACTAATTTCATAGTCTAAAACGAGTTTCTTTGCCTTATATTCCTTAATGATGGCTCTCAGATTTTCCATCTCCCTCCGATCATTCTCAGAGAAACTACTATCAATTTGATCAGCACTAGCTGTTGCAACAGATTGATTAAGTGGAGCCTTATTCGTCGGTTTAAATGGTTTATACTCATCTGTTAATAGTGAAGAAACAACAGATATTGTATCGCTCAATTCAGGTTGTGGATAATTAGCTCCAGCACCCGATGATGATAAGAGTGATGATAATTGAGCCTGTTGTTGGGATGCTTCATATTGACTCGAGAATGAGGCTGACCTTAAATTCCTCATTTTTTTTATAATGATAGAAAAACACATTTACATTGTTACTCTTTATCAATTCATTATCATATTAGAATTTGATGTCTTTTAAATAAATGTTCAATAATCAAATAATAATTATTTTACTTTTATTAAAAATTCAATCAAAAAAAAAATGCTTTCTTTTCTTGATAGGGCAGGCTTCTTTCATAACAAGGCTGTATTTGAACCACTACTCCGAAAACATGGTATCAAGGCTTCAAAGATAACTGCAATGATAAATGCAGAAATTGAATCGGAGGGTAATGATAAAATTCTTCCATTTAGAAAAGTGAGAATTGCTGGAAAGAAGGAACCTATTTTAAAGCAACCATGTACTGGGTCGTTATTAGCAAATAATACTAATTTTACACCTCGTAGTATTTTAGAATTACCAGGATCTATGAGAGGATTAAAAAAGGTGGATGCCGAAGAAAATGTTACTAGTTATTATGATGTTAATAGAGTTTGGACTGATAAGAGCACAGAAGTGATACCAAAGTTATCAGATGATGATGCTAACTATTTGTACAAACAATTATCGGAAACATTATCAGAAAATCAAATCATGTTTTTCAGAGATTTATTCATGTCTTTGAAAGTTTATCATGATGATGGTACTGGTATTAGTGCTCCTCAATTATATCACAAAATTAGATATTTCATTGGTACTGATAGAATTTTCAAAGCAACACCAAAGTTGAAGGTTGTAAATGCAAAACAATCTGGAGGTTTTGAAGAAAAGAAGAATGCCACAAGTGAAATTTTCGATCCAGATGCAAGTTATGCCTATGATGTTGATTTGGAATTATATATTGATCCAAAGATTGTGGATAAAAGTGTTGAAATGGAAAGAGAAGTTGAAGGATGTTTGAGTTTTAAGAATGAATATTTATTTTTAATGAGAAGTAAGGAAATTGAGGTAGAATACATTAACATGTTCGGAGTTAAACAAAGAAAAACATTAGACGGATTTTCTGCTCGTGTTTTCCAACATGAATTCGACCATCTTGAGGGAATTAACATGTTTGACCGTGTGGTTGACAAGAAAAAGGACAGATACGTATATGGTGAAGATGTCTACAATTATCTGGATGAGCTTGGTAACCTGCGGCCAGAATTTAAATAAATTATTCATCACAAGTTGGTTTTTCCATTTCAGCTCTCTTTTGAAGTTTATCAATGGCTAAGAGGAATGAACTGGCATCACTTGTTGACAATTTTAAGAATTTTGTCATGTATTCTATAGAACCTCTTTCCAATAAATCAATTCCAGACCATCCTTCTTGTTTAATTTCTATTCAGTTAAAGTTTAAGTGTGAACATGTGTTTAGGTTGGACAGAAAAGGAAAATAACCTACTTTTTATAACCTTCTTTGAAACCAAGTCAGGATACGAAGATAAAAAGACACACACGTTGCTGTGTGACCACATACTAACATTAGGGGAAGCTTTCACAAGTTTTTCAAATTCATCCATGGAGCTGGTCATTTCGTTTAGTTTCGTTGTTTTTTTTCTATTAGCAAGTAGGTTGCGACATTGGATTTATGTTAAACACAAATGCAGAGGTGACACAGCACGAATCTCACCGAATTGGTTTAATCCTTTTGATTCCACTCCGCCAAAAATACTACAGTTAAGTTGTACGAAAAGATTATAACAAGGATATTCGAAAGGTTAGGATTGTAATTGAGAGATAAGAAGTGAGCGCTGTTATTCAATGAAGAGAGGACTTGTAAAGATTTTAAAGATTTTTTAATGTTGGAGTCACGACTATTAGAAATCTTTCGAATAGTATTTCGCATCAAAGAACTAACTCCTTTACAGTTTTTTCTTCAAGCAACTCACACAACAATAGATTATTCTTCTAAGAATGCGGAAATATCTTTCAATACGTGAACATCTTTTTCAATGATTGATTTCTTCATTGAATTGAAATCGCTGAAATTGTAAAGTTGTGAATGATAACTTTGATTTCTCCTTCTTCTTAATAATTCAAGAATTTGCTTTTTGGAAAAGTTTACAAGTGACGCAAAGGATTCACCTCTCACAATTTCACGATTACTTTCTAATAAAGCTAGAAGAAATAAACTAAACTCTTCTGAAACATCTAAGAATGGACAATCAACACTTAGATAACGAAGAAAAAAGTGATAGAAAGTTTCAATTTCGTCCCAGGTCCTATCTAGCTTTAAGAAGAAAGTTTCGTGACTTGTTTCTTGTGAAATACAATTCGAAATGGGACGAACCCATTTAGGCTCATATCCAATACTGTTTAAATAATTAGACAATGCCTTTTTGATTGGTGAAACCATTACTAAATCAACTGGAATATTAAATTCAAATGGAACAGGTCTATTATCACATATGCAATCTAATAAAGTATTGGAATCTCTATTCGAAAGTGAAATATTCAAATAGCTCAATAAACTCTTTGCATAGTGTCCAGTGTTACACTGTTCATCATTATAACACATGCTGGCATTCCATTTACAATTAAAATCTATCAACTTTTTCATGTAATACTCAATTTGCTCACTCTTTCTACAAACTAGGAAAGACGAACGGAAACAACAAGTTTCCAATTCACTACTGTAATTCAGCTCTTCAACTTGGATGAAACCATTCTCTGTCCATTCCAAAGTGTGTTTACCAATTAAAATAATCACTTTGAGTGGAAATTCATTTCTACGAGCCAAATGTTCCTTTTCAAGTTTCGAATTGAAACATTCCTCAAGAACACTCTCATGTTCTTCATGAATGAAATACAGGGAGAAACGATAATAATTCACCTTATCATTTCTCATGTGTCTCTTACTAATCTGTAAGAATTGCAAAAAATAACTGTTCACAGTGCTGGATAATAACAATTTGGCAAATAGATAGTTATTGGAAAGATCTAATGCAAATGGACTAAAGTAATGAGAAAGAGTTTCTAATAAGTGAATAGCCTTGGACCAATCAAAGGTTTGGAACCACTTGTCCAATTTTTGAAAGAATGGAATTCCCATCACGTTTAGACATTTTCTCTCAGATTCTTCAACTTGCTTTACCAATTGCGAATTTCTCCTCTTTAACATTTCGCTGCCGATAATTTGCAAATATTTAGAATGAATATTCGAAAAGACCATTTTCCTATCTCGTGCCATGTACATGTTAAATTGTTGAAGCTTTTCAATTTGTTTTTCAATGAGTCGTGAGAGAGATTGCTTGGTAGAGAGCTTTCGTTCGAGTTTCTCCATGAGGTACTTGCAAGTAAATTCGTCCTTTACTAGAGCATCATTTGATAAACGAGGCAAATCTATCAGAATCACAACAACATGCTCTGAGAATTGTCTTGGAATTGGTGAAACATTAACCATTCTTCTTTTATAGTTTTTTTGGAGGAACATTAAGAAAATCGTGATTCAACATGTCGTTTACAAGGAAAGATTTTGATGCAGAAGAAAACATGTTGTGCCAAAACACAATTCGCCAAACGTGATAAGGCACGAACCAACTTGTTAGAATGAGTAGTGAAAAAAAAGAGAAATTTATCACGTTAGCTCAAAAACTCAAAGAATGGAAAGATTCAACATGTAAGAATGGCTTGTTGGGAAATAGTTTACAATACAGTATTAAATAAAAGTGTGGAAAATCAAAATTGCACTTTCGAATAGAAAGATTTAAAAGAAAAATGCGCATAAAGACAACAAGCAAATCATCGAGTACATCCTATTCGAAAGTTAAACGAAAATTGAAACACTCTCTGCTCATCTTTTCAGATGATTCAATTTTTGAAATTTTATCATTTCTTGATGTTAAATTTATTCTAAATTGTACTCTAATTTCTAAACAGTGGTTGAATGTCATTTCGGAAAGATCAAGATTTTCTTTAACTTGCAGAAATGATAACAAACTGAAAGGTCAATTACTTCAAAATATTGAAATATTAATAGTGGAGAAACGAAACGAAACTATTTTTGATTGTAAAATATTTTCTGCAATGATGAAGAATCGATTGGTAGATCTTGACATGAAAATGAATAATATTGGTGATATAGGCGTTTCTTATATTAGCAATCTCACAAAATTAACAAAGCTCAATGTTTCGTATAATAGGATTAGTTCAGAAGGAGCCAAATATCTTAGCAAAATGAAACAATTGACATATCTTGACATTTCTCATAATAAGATAGGAGAAGATGGATCCAAATTCATCTGTAATGGAATCAGACAACTTACACATCTCAATATTTATTATAATGAAATCGGTGTTAGAGGAGTTAAATTCATTGGTGCGTTGAAACAATTGACCAGTCTTAATGTTGGTGGAAATCGTATTGGTGATCAAGGCATTGAACATTTAATGAGAATGCATCAATTGGTAGATCTCAATATTAGTAATAATAATATTCGAGTTGAGGGAGCAAAATTAGTGAGTGAAATGACTCAGTTGACCAATCTTAATATTCGTAAAAATATAATTGGGGATGATGGTGCTAAATACATTAGTGAAATGAAACAATTGATTAAGCTTGATATTGGTAAAAATTATCTAAGTAATCGAGGTGCTAAATATATTAGTGAAATGAAATATTTAACAAATCTTGACATTCGTTCGAATAATATTCGTGAGGAAGGAGCTGAATTTATTGGTGAAATGAAACAATTGACCAATCTTAATCTTAATGGAAATTATATTACTGATGAAGGTATTAAACACCTCTGTGGACTATATCAATTAGTTTCTCTTTCAATTTACAATACTGGAATTCAAATGGAAGATGGTGCTAAACTTTTGAGTGAAACAATGAATCATCATCTTAGTTATCTTGTTGTTGAGAAGAAACAATGCAATACATTAGAAAAATGAAATGTTAATGTAGCTGACCTATTGTTTCCTTTATAGTGAAAGTGGCCTTTTATTGTAAACAAGATTCGAATGAATCATTTCTAGCATGCATAATATGTTCCATCAACTTTGTTTGTTCTGACAAGATCTTGTAACGCACTTTCTAGTACAGACTAGTTCGAATGGACCAGAATTGAGCTAAACACCTTTCACCAATCATTAAAAAAAACACGTCAAATAGAATGCTTTGTCGTCTTGTTGTTTGTTTTTTAACAATGATGCTATTTATTGAAATGGTATCAAGTGCTGGCGGTTGGGGAACTGTCAAGAAACCATTTTCTGTAAACTCTCCTTGGAATAGTCAACCAGTCAACCCAAAATTCGCTGCCAATGTAACCATTCCAAGATCCAAATACTATCCAAACATTGATTCTGGATCTCTTTCAGTTGGTATCTTTGAAACTTCTCCAACAGATAAACCAATGACTGTCTATCCAAGTACTAGTTCAGGTATTGCTGATAATGATGTTGGTGGCTATGTCCAAAGCATTACAATTCCTCGTTGGCCAGAGAAGGCACTTCCAGCTACTGGTGGTGATGGACATTGTGATATATATGATACCACTGCAAATATTGTTCACTCATTTTGGCAATTGAAAAAAGTGAATTCGACATGGGTTGCAGTTTTCTATGCATGGACAAAGGTTGATGGAACAGGTTGGGGAGATCCAGCTCACTTTTATCAAGGAGCTAGAGCTGCTGCTGTTCCTCCATCTGGTGGAATTTTAAGAACTCATGAAATAGATGATGGTGATACCATGTTTAGACATGTCTTGGCCATGTCCTTGGATTTTACTGGACTTTCTCCTGATCCACGTTATGTCTTTCCAGCAACACATGCAGATTATGGTGCTGCTTGGTTGAATACTGGTAAAATTCCTGAAGGTGCACTTGTCATGCTTCCTTCAACATTTGACACTTCCAAAATTTTAACAACCAAATTGAAGAAAGTAGCAGAAACATTGAAAGTTTATGGAGCTAGAGTAGTTGATCAAAATGATGGCACTCCTTTTGCGTAAGTAATAACTCAATTGACCAAATTTTGTTGTTTAACCAATTTCACATAGATTATATGCTGAAATTGGATCCAATTATACTTTACATCCAGGTGGTTGGAGTTCAACTGCAGCCACAGATTTGGATAACATTCGAGATGCTTTAAGAATGGTTGAATCTGTTGATGGTTGGTTAAATGGTGATGGTCAACCGGTGACTTTTACAACAAATCAAAATATTGTTTCAATGCGTGGGCCATGGACAAAATTTACAGGAACTGGAAATATTGGAGCATTTGACACTTATAGACAAGCTGTTGTCTTTCCACCAAATAATGTTACCTTCACTAGAACTTACATGGTCAATGCAAATGAAAATGGTTTTAGACAAGTGACTTGGGCAAAACCTATTCCAGGACAAGTGTATAATATGACAGCTGTTACTACAGGTGGAGGTCAAGTGAGATTACTTTTCATTTTGGATTGTAATAATCAGACAAAGACTGGTGGGACTCCTTATTTGAATAATGGTCAATTCAGTGTTTTCACATGGCCAACCAAGTATTGTTATTCACAACTCTTGGCAGGTAGTGGAACAACTCTGAATCTGGAATCATCTTCCTCTTGTACTATTTTCAAGGTTGAAACTCCTTCCACTCCGCAAACCAGTACTTCCTCTAGTGGAATTATTGCAGTCAACTCAACCAATACTCCTCAACCAGGTAAATCTGCAATAATTGGAGAAGAGAAAAATTCTCTAGCAAGTAGACAAGTTGTCCTAGGATTGACATGTCTATTGAGTGTATTACTTTTCCAATTAATTTTATTGTAAACTTGGTAAATAAATGATTAATAGTAAGGTATTAAAAAATTAAATTTGGAAATGCATTGAAAAATCAACATTCTCAGATATTGTAATTGGTAACATCCACTATACTGGGATCACTTATAATAATAAAATCCCATCCTACAGCAACAATACAATATACCATTAATCTTATCATAACACATTCCAAATAAATCGCCCAATAACTCAGTTTCTTTGTAGTACTTTACAACTTGTAATGTATCTCTATTGATTACAGAAAAACTATCATTTTCTGAATCAGTGATAATATATTGGCTAGCAGGACAAAAAGTCACTGAATAGAAAAATCCTTTAACATTTGGGACAGAATATAAAAACCTTAAACTTGGAATTCCTGAACTTTCATCAATGTTGTAAATTTCAATTTGTTTTGCTCCAACAACCATCTCATTTTTGGTTCTCATTGTAATTGAGTTTGCAGTTGTTGTTGCTAGGGATAATTTAAAATCATTTAGCTCACCTCCATTTGAACAATTAAGGATTATCAAATCCGATGAGGTACTATCTAAAATGATGAGATATTTCTTTGATTTTCCATTGTAAAGAGTTATTCCAAAAGGTGATTTAATTGATTTTGGACTAGTATCCCAAATTAATGCAACCTCTGGTTGTTTTTTACTTTGAATAAACAATCCCAAATCAAACTTTTTGACATAAAAACCATCCTCTCTTTCTCCAACAACATAAATATAATCACATTCATCATCAACCACAGCAGCAACAGCATCACTCAATTCAAATATATTAATTAGCTCTCTACTTTTCTGATCAAATATAAACACTTGCGACTCGGAAACAGCAATCAAACGTTTATATCGATAAGATATTTCCATAAAGCCTCCAAAATGTAATTCCTCAAATTTATATATCGGTCCACAAAATTCAAATTTACATGAGAAGGGTTTGTTAGATGGTTTCCGAAGTTTATCCTTGAGTAATTTCATTAATTGATTATTTTGATGATTATTTAATAAATTAAAATCCAAAAGTGATAATACCACCCCAGGAGCTTCGTGATGAGACATTTTTTTGAACTGAAAAAACTAAATGTTTAATTTTGAGATTGTCTTCCAGCTGAGTTCACAAATGAAGACTGCAATATATTTGTGAATTTAAATTACCAAAGTGATGCAATTAAAGCAACAAGAACTACAAGCAAGGAAAATGAATTGGCACTTGCAAAAGAAACTGAAACACTTGTTGAGTATCCAAGAGTTGGATCATGCACCAAAGTGCCATCCCACTTTTCATATTCAACACAAATGGTATTACCAGAATTTCTCAAACCTGCCTTGACACTTGTTCCATTGATTGCCAAAGCACGTGGCTCAATATCGAAATATCCCTTTCCAAATGAAGCACGAGTTGAAGTTGAATTAGCAGCATTGATTCCATTACCAGAATCTCTATCTAACACCTTATAACACAATGACAAGTAAGCAGCCTTATTATTCCAAGTTACTCCAGAAATGACAGTGTCAAACTTGAATGATTTAGAGGTGGAATTGACATGAATACGAAATTGGAAAGTTGGATTTCCACCACTCGATGTAATATTAAAATCAACAGAATTATCAGAATTGGTAACAAATTCACTAAAATCATAATTCAAACTAGCCAATGCAATATTAGTTGAAGGAATTTCATTGTGATCAGAATCGGTCTGAGAAGCTCTAGCAAATTGAACCTTAAATCCTTGAATTCTGCTATCATTAGCAAACGAATAACCAAACTTGGGAACATTCTGATTGCCCTCAATATCAATTGAGAGAGAATCTGTGATCAATGTTCTTTGACCTGCATTTGGTTTGGAAATTTTGATGGCAAAAACTTGAACAGTCATGGCCAGCATGAATAAACATGCAACAAGGAGAGAAGCAGCGAATGGATTCATTTCTTTCAATTTGTTGTTGAGGGATTTTTTTTTGTTGTGTTTTTGAGAGATTCGTTGCATGCTTCCTTAAATGTGTTTTAGAACTGGTTGTTGTTTGAGGAGAAACGGGCAGATATTGGATAAATATGGATATTGGTTATCGTTACTCTGGATTGTGCTGTGTTTGTTTGGGTACTGTCAATTTAATTTCTGACAGTACAGGAGAAGGAACATATGAGAATCATGCATTTTGGGAACCTCCTTAGGTCTTTGTAAAGAACTGTAATTTATTGTAAAATTTGCGTTCGAAGAATTACGTAGCTTGTTCGTATTTGAGAAACTTTGGTTAGATGGTTGAGATTACAATGCGCTTATAACTAAATCAATATTGTAAGAGGACATTAATGTAAAGAATATCTGGGGTTCCCAACTCACCAGCTATGTAACACCATTTTTTTAGGTATGCTTGATTAGGTTACATCTACGTGTATTTGTTACATAGTCGTTTTTAAGAAGCTTCCAGCAAAAAGTACTTTATCTTGTGCTCTAACACTTGTGAAAAAAATAAAAAAAAATGAAAATATTGGGCAGATTAAGACTAGTGAGACTTGTAACATTCGTCAACAATTGCAAGTGTTGTGCACCACAATTTTTCACCTTTAAACAACCTACACCTAGCAAACATTTTCATATGACACGGTACTTGCGAAACTTTGACCAAGGGTCCAACGAAGAAGGAAAAGAAAGCAATTGGAAGAAATTCACAAACATATGGATCACTTGGTCAGGTTCTCTGGCCATTATCTTTTCCGTCTTGAGTGCTTATCAAACTTATAACATTCTTACAGGTATTCATGAAGATAATCAAAACAACGAGTATTTGCCTCTTGAGAAGGAAATTAGATCAAAGCTCGCACAACCATTCATACCAACTACACCAATGATTAATGGTATGAAATTGTTGCCTAAAGCAGGATCAGAAGTACTTGGTGCAATGTTTTCATACGACTGCGTTAATCAGTTGGCATATATCAGTGGTCCATCTAATTCTGGAAAATCAATGTCTGTTGAGAAAGCACTGGAAAATAGAAGAAATGTAATATACATTCCATTGAGAGCGAATATGCCATACCAAAACATTCTTCTTGCACTTGGGATCAGCCAAAGAAGAACAGACGAATCTGACGTTCCAATTGCCAGAATAATGGTTGCCCTGAAAAACATTTTGCAACAACTAAAGAAGGAAGCTAACTATGGTACTCCTGTTTCTATTATTGTTGTAAGTGACTATATAGCCAACGACCCCGATTGTAAAATAATAGCCGGTAACTTACTTCAATTCGTTGAGGAGCAATTGGCCACTGGTGTCCATGTCTCTAGCAACTTTTCCACCTTCACAGATTTAAGGAAATTATCTGGACACACATCTAGACTGAAGAAGTACACGTTTTCTTACACCACCCAAACTGAATTAGAGCAATATCCATTCCTGAGAAATGATGATATCAAGAAATTAGGAGGCCACTTTGGCCAGATTTATAGTGTACTTAAAGAATTGATCCCCATTATGCAAGATCATCACCCTTCTCTGAAATCAAAACCTCATAATGAAATTATTTCCGATATTGTTAATGGTCACATTCAAGTACCAGCTGAAGACATTAAGAAAGTTGTTGATGGAATGATTCGAACAGAAGCTATAGAATTAGCAAACATAATAGGGATAATCTATGATAACGAAGGAGGTGAAATAGTTGACGTCTTGGATCTCATTGCTGGAAATAATTCATTTTTTCCATCAACAGCTCAACATAGGAAAATTTGTTCAAAACTTGTTGAGCAAAATATTCTTGGTCAATCCACAAATGATGAATCACTTTTCACCTGGCACCGTCCAATTATGAAATATGCATATACAGAACTACCTCAGTTGTTCACTATATTTAAGGAACACAAAAATAAAAACAGCAAATGAATTTAAATGGAACTCTGGTACTTGTTTAATACTTTTTCAACAACTTTCTGGTTTCTGGTGTTTGGAGTGTAGGTAAAATCTGCTGGGGTTCCCAACTCACCAGCCATGTAGCACCATTTTAGGTATGCTTGATTTGGTGACATCTACGTGTATTTGTTACATCATATTCAAAATTGTGCAAAACAAATGAAACTTGTTGTTAGTGGTAAACAACACTAATACTTCTTTGGGAAGTGGTACATATCAATAATAAAATGTTGTTAGTGTTGTACTTCTGGTTTGATTGAGTTGGCAACCAGAAGAATATCTAGGTCCATTCATGTACAGTTCACAAATTATTGCTTCTTTGTCAATTTTCTTGGATTATCAACTTGAGAGCTCAATCTCATTGTTGGTGATAGAGAACCAGACCTATTTCCTGTCTGTGAAGCTACTAGGGTTTGAGTGACCTTGCTAAATTGAGGATTGATGAAATCAACAATCTATTGGAAAGGATGAAATTTTCCTAGATGATGAACTTTATTGCCCTGTTTTTAAAAAAAATGTTTCAATTACTTCAAGATATAGACGTTGTTGTGTTACCATTTTCAAAGGAAACTGTTCTCAGCAAGAATAATTTTCATGCCCAATTACTAAAGGAAAAGCTCGGAAGGCGAATGTTACAAGCAAACGACAGGCAATTTGAGTTGGAGAGGGCTTTGTTGTGGTTTTTGGATAAATTAAAGGAAGAAAAATTGGCAACTATCAATAGTTTTCACGGGAATACAATTAATTCTTGTGTGCCCTTCCGATTAGTACTTCTTAAATTGGCTAAATTTGGAAAACCAGGAATAATTAGGAATTTACCTTTCGATTATGATGATAGACAAGTTTTATTGGAATGTGTTAGGAATTGTGGAAGTGAATTTGCTTTTTTACCTGAAAAGTTCAAGGTGGATAGAGAAATAGCTCTTGCAGCTGTTAAATCTAATGCTGATTCGATTGCTAGTTTCATGGTGAATAGTTCTGTATTTAGGAAAGATCCTGAAATTATTGCACATTGTCTAATGGCTAATTGTTCTTTATCTTCTCAAGTATCACCTGAAGCATTGGATGATGAAGCATTTTGTTTGAGTGTGGTTGAGAGAATCTACAAACCCTCTGATATTTACTACGTGTTGCTTCATTCTGTTTCGAATCGTCTTTTGGAAAGTGAACCGTTCATGAAAAGAATCATTTCAAAATTCCCAAAGGCATTGTATGCATTTAAAAAGTTCATAACCCAAGAGGATCTTGTGATTAGTTGTGTGGAAAGAGGATTGGATTGGATCCATCTCAAAAAAGATCTTATTACAAAAGATCTAATCCTAAAGTGCTTACAAAATGTAAGCATTGTTGGTTTATCAGTATTTCAAAAGTATAGAATACCAGTTGAGTTTGAACAAGATAGGGATATAACAATTCAACAATTGAAGATTGGAGGAAAAGTTTGGGATTCTACTATTCATCCAATGTTCAAATTAAGTAATTTCATTTTGAATGATACTACACTATTTGGAGGAGATATCAAACTGATATTAGATGTTTTAAAACATAATGCGGATATTTTCTCATGGTTACCAGATCATGTGCAATCACATCCAGCCCTGAGAGAGTTTAATACTACCCAGAAAAAACAAAGTATTGAACAAGAACCTTCAAGATATGAGAATATTTGGAATAGAGATGAGTTTATTGATTTGTTCAACAAGAGTAGTGATGATGAATTGGAAAGAGAACGACTAGTTTGTCGATGTGGTTATTTATTGAGATTTTGCTCGCCTAAAATTACGGCCAACAAGGAAATTGTAATGAGAGCTTTACAAACATCTCCAATGAGTTTGAAATATACATCTGATGAATTGAAGAAGGATAAAGAGGTGGTATTAGTGGCTATACGAAGGAATATTAGGGCTATCCAATTTGCAAATCTAGAACTGTTAAATGATAAGGATATTTGTAATATTTTAGCAGGTGGCATTGATATTATAGATATTACATTCCCTAACCAATTATTTAACAGATATGTCCAAGTTATCAGAAGATTACTAGTGGATCCTTGCTCTAGTTATTATCCAAACGAGCCAGAGTTTTTGGATTATGATGGAGATGAGAGCTTTTCTGAGGTTGGCCATTTAGGCCTAATATCTGACACAATTACACAAACTAATGAGGTTGACAATGATGATTACTATCTTAACAATAGAGAATTTTACAAATTTGCATTAAGGTACGATGGAACATTGTTACAATATGCACCAGAGGAAATTAGAAATGATGAACAAATGATTTGCCTTGCTGTCTCTACAAGGAGGTCTGCTTTCAATTATGCAACAGAGGAGAGGAAACAAGACCTACTCACATTTATGAGAGCTACCAAGTCAATGAGTTTCTATTGTGATTCTGGAGAGCATGAACATTATTACAGTTGGAGCTCAATTGGTCCTCCATGTTTACCCTCAGATCACTTTCAATCTACTATTTTTGATACTTATTACTACCTTAACCAAGACAATCCTTTTTTGTAATCAATGGAGATTAGTTTCAAAAATTGATAAGACAATATCATATCTACCTAACCTCCCAGTCTCTAATGTGTCAAGTTGCGTGTTTACAAAGTTTGACATTTGAATTTGTTAAAAAAAATGTCTTCACCCCACTTTTATGATGTTGTTGGCGTGTCGGAAGAACTGTTGAGAGGGATTTATAGTTTTGGATTGGAGGAAATGTCATCAGCTCAACAATACATTCTCCATTCCAAACTTGAAAAGGCAATCATTCAACAGTGGAATTCCGGATCTGGCAAGACAATTGGTTTGGTGATTAAAGTGGTCATGGAAATTGATTTTCAATCTAAACATTCACTGCAAGGATTAATTCTTGCTCCAACAGAATATTTAGCAATGTATATATTTAACATTCTGAATTATATTTCTGAATATTGTGCAAATAATAGAAAGGTCACTGAAATTTCCATGTGTCCAACAGATCAAACAAGAATTTTAGTGACCACTCCACAATTAGCTCTACATCATAATATTGATGTTTCTAATTTGAATATTTTAGCTGTTGATGAAATGAATTTAATGTTGGAATTTGGATCTGATTGTAGGAAGTGTATCAAATCAATTTTCAAACAATTACCAGATAAAACCAGAATAATCTGTACTGGATGTGAAATGCCTCCTCCTGAATGTTATATTCATGATAATCATTTGAAAAATGCAACAATAGAACAAAGTAGAAAGGAATTGAATGAATTAATTATTGAGACATTTGTCTATTGTCCAAAACCAAATCAGAAACTCGACTTGTTGAAACAGTCCCTCTTCAATATCTCCGATTTTTGCATCTTTTTCTGCAATTCACATAACAGAGTAGCTCAATCATTCAATTCCCTGAAGGAGATTTATCCAACTCTCCAAATTGCTCCACAACAATATGATGTTTTAAAAGAGAGATTTCACTCCTTCACTCGGTCAACAATACACCTCATTGGAACTGAAGAGGATTGGTTAGGAATTGATGTTCCTTGGTGTAATTGTATTGTACATTTTGATGTGGTGTGTGATGAGACTAAAAGTCGATTGAGAAGTGGACGATGTGCCAGATTTACGAGAAGTGGAAGAGTACTCTATCTTCCCTCAACATTGGAAGAGTTGGATTTTGTTTCAGGATTGATTCTTGGATCAGCTAATTGTAAATATCAACGAATCATGATGAGTAATGTGCTCTATTTGGATGTTGAGTTTTTGTTTTGTTAATTTGCTTATTATTACATTTTTTTAATTAATTAATTAATTTATTTTTTGTTATTTTTATTTTAAATTAAACATGATATTTCCAATAATGGAATATTTGGGGGGTAATTTATTAACCAAGTCAGTATGTGACAATGTAGTTAAAATATAATTTTTATCGTTCCTCTTTCTAATCAAATTATACATTTATTACAGAACTAAGGTAACATAAAACAAAGGTCAACATTCTTCAAACCATTTCCAATATAGAAACCTCCATAGAATGGGGTTTGAATTTTGTGATAAAAGACGTAGCCAGGCCACAAAAGACTTCTTCCAACTACAGTATTAATAATTTCCTCATATTGGACGCTCCAACAACCGTATGGTATGTCATCATCAACTGGATCAGCAAAATCAAGAGACTTGTCAATATATTGTTGAGCAACTATATTTTCCCATGTTTTGTGGATTGGTGTTCTGAGGTGGACAAAGTTATAGAGCTTTGATGCTTGATACTTATCCATTCCAAAGAATGTTTGATTTTTTACAATTACCTGCTCGTCATCCTTCTTGACAACAAAAGCACCCCTTGGTACAACACTTCCGTCTTGGTCAATCATTTTTACAGCCCATGTTAATCTCTTTTCTTCAGTTATAGTGAATAACTCTTCCTTTGGTTTTGTCTTCTTTTCATCATCAGCTTTTTCATCATTTTTGTCTTCATTATCCTCATCATCATCCTTAGGTTCCTTTGGCTCAACTGGAACTTCTTGTTTGTCAGTGACTTCTTCGGAAGACTCTTCCTTTGGTTTTGGGAATAAATAGGTGTGAGTTGGGATACCCATGAACAGTGTTCGGATTGATTCTATGCAGGAAACCTCATATTCAGTCAAGTCAAAAGTCATTTGATTCCAACTAATTCCTCCATCGATCGAGTAAAATCTTATTCTTTCATCCATCATTGATCCACGATATCCTTCGGCAATATGATAATCTTGTTCTACACCTTGAATCTTTCCCCAGAATTGTACAGTATGGAAATGGTTATTTTCTTGGAGAATAAGCAAACTGCTTTGAAGGGCAGTCTTCTCTTCCAGATTCAAACAATATCCGTTTAATGAGAGAAATTGAGAATGAAAGGCAAGTTCGTTTTGTTCCATTTTTTTTGTAGGTTGTTTTAAAAATTGTAGTTTAAATTTGGCGCCAAATAATAAACAGTTAGTGGTGAGAATGAAAATTTATTCAATAATATTTAGATAATCTACAATATCATCATCATCAGAATCAGTGGCAATCAGATAGTGGTGATGATGAATGAGAATTTTCCTCTCCTGTGGTGTCAAACTTGAATGAAGAATTGGAGAAACAATGTTTGTACTAAGGGCTGGTGATATATTGCTCTGAACAATTTTTGAATTAGTGATATTGGATTTGGTTATAAATTTGGGATGTTTGTGAGATTGTAGTTTTGATTTGATTCGCCACAAATTAAAGCACTTTGCTACTAGATTTGATGCATTGGCGTGGACTGCCTTGGCTAGCATAAGTCGTTTCTCCTTTTCCTTCTTTACAAAAAATGTCCAAGAATCGATTCCCTTAATGAGAAGCTTGTAATAAACAATATTCACAGTCTTGGCAAAAAAGAATGGTGAGTTTGGTCTCGCATTCAAGAATCTATCGAGCGAGAGTGGTGATTCTAGTGATGATTGAACTAATTTCTTGTGATAGAACAAGTCAGCCTTTTCTCTCTTTCGCCTCTTATCTCGTATGGTATTTACATTGATTAATAGTCCTATTAAAACTTTCCTCATCAGAGATTCTTTGTAATATTGATTAGCTCTTATCAATTGAACATGTTCTATTCTTTGTTGGACAATGTATTCCTTGATGGACCCCATTGATTTCTGAGCCAGTTTTCTTTCGTGGAACCTTTCAGCAAGACTATTTAACGAGCTCATTTCATTCTTTTCTCTGAGTGCAGCTTTCCATCTTTGAAAAATGTTTTTTTTAAATTTGTGCTTTGGTTCCTCGGTTGATTTAGCAGCGAATATTCTCCAATTTTCAAAAGCCTTTCTCAAAATAAATATATCAACAAAGTTTGTTTCAAGGGTATACTCTCTCCATGATTTGATTATTTTCTTCTTTATCACTTGATTATAGTGATTGAGTGCAATAGCTGTCTTTTCTTTCTCCTCCTGTGACTGTTCCAATTTCTTTTGTTCTTCTCCAATGGCTTGTTTGATTTTCCACAACTGGAAGAATTTTTGCTTGAGAGCATCATCATAAAATTTCTTAGATTTGATAAACATGAAGTATTGATTTTTCCTAGAGATCTTGACTTCCTTATTCTTTTTCAATTGTTTAAGAACATATTTGGCTAAAGATTTCTTATTTTCTAAAACAGTGGTTTTGGCCTTCATTCTGTTGGCTCCGTCAGTGAGAACTTTTCTTAACAGTTGTCTCTTTTTTGCTTTTTCTCTCCAAGCTGTTAACAGTTTGAACTTTAAAGTCATTTGATATTGTTCTGCAACTGCCAGTTCAAACTTTTCTTCACTTTTTCTCAAGAACAACATCAACTTCCAACGTTTGAAATAACGCTCCTTTGATTTGACAAGCCATTGCTTACATAGATCATTCAAATGAGGATTGTAATCTACAAGACAAGTTGTTTTCAAAGCTTGGAATGCCTTTCTTGCTAATGTTATATTGTAGTATTCTGAGGCAATACTATCTTTTTCATGGCTGACTAGTTCTGTGGTTTCTCTCCACTTGTTGAAGTATTTAACAATCATTGTAGCATTTGAATTGTCCTGTATTTGCAGACTCTTTTCGTAAATATCATCTCTATTTTCTCTTAGTACGTACAAGACCTTTCGCTTTGTCACGTCACTATAGAATTGGTCCGCTCTGTTTTTAAGTATCTTATCACACGCTTTTTCACTCCACTGTTGAAATATTTTCTTTTTGAGTCTGATATCATATACTTGTTCAGTAAGGTTTGGAATTGATGCTTTTTGAAAAGAAGATTTTGAGTAGAGAGGTGGTTCGTACTGCTCCTCTGGTGGACCATCCCAAACTGGTCTGCTGTCGTGCTTTTTCAAATAGTTAAAGTGCTTAAATCTTTGATCGTATTCTTCAATTTTGTAAATAGTACTCAGATCAATTGGTTTTTTGGTAAAGTATTCAATGTATCTAAGTTTTGGAGTGTGCTCGAATTTAGAAACTAGGGATTTCTTTTCTCTATAAAGTTGAATCAAGTGCTTGGTTATTTTGGTTCTGAAATTGAGACGTATTTTGTAAGACATGTAGGACTCAATCTCATATTCAGATTTGAACCTGTCCAACTCATCAAAGGAATCTGAAACAGCAAACCTCATGAGACCTTGTTTCAAATACTTTGTTTTTTCAGATTGATGCCTCCAACCAAAGAACCCCTTTCCAAGAATCTGCCTATCCCTCCACATAAAAGAAAGCTCCTTTGCACACCGTTTAAGAATCATACTATTCAAGACGAAAGCTATACTATTGAAAGCCTTACGTTGGAGGTTATTGTAGTAATGAATCATAGCTACCTCATCCTTTTCCTTCTCTGTAACAGAAGATTTTGTACTTTCTTTCCATTTAGCAAAGAGGCTTACTTTTCTTCTATGAGTTATGTAGTTGTCAAATCTTTGTTGTTGTTGCCTCAAATCTTGTTGCTTTTTAGTAAAGTTTTTGAAGGCGTAAAAAGTATTCCTAGCACAGTTTTCCAACATTTCATCATTCAATTTTGTCAGCAATATATCCCTAGATTTTTGTATTTCTTTCTCAATTTTTAAATAAATTAAAAACAGTTTGGCCAGACAGGTCGATATTTCTCCCTCATAAATAGTTACTTGATAGCAAGTATTGGAATAATTAGCATTAAGGGCATTTAAAAACATTTTAAGCTTCTCTTCAGCTTTTGGAGTATTCTTCACAAGTTTTAGTCTATTTGTTTCCTTCAGTCTTTGTTTTCTGAAAAGTTCATCCTTCTCGTATTCTTTTTCTATTTTTCTTTTAAGGTCACTAATTCGCTTTTTAAGATCTCCTATTTTTGGATTTTTCATTAATTCTACCCTTTCAAATTCCAAATTTCTTTTGATTTCTTGAAGTCTTTTGCTTCGTAATTTTTTTACTTTATCCTTAATGTAGTTCAAGTCATGAACCGTATCATTTTCATTGTTACTGGTTATTCCAATATTTAGTGTTTTCTCGAATATTATTTGTCTTTGATTTAATGGTTCTGATCCGTATACAGATGTAATGTGATTGTACATGGATTGAATTTGCCTAGAGGCATCTGCCAAAGTTAAGTTAGAAATATTGGGTGATACTGTTTGTTTGGGGAGTGAATAGTTATGAAATAATTCATTTTCAAAAGATGGTGTCTCTCGGCTAGTGTTTTGTAATGGTGCCTGATCGTCTGCATTGGAAGGATATCCACAGAATAAGGAAGAAGGGGAAATATTTAAATTACTAGGTCTTGGCTCATCATCGTCTAGGGTCATGTTTGTAATTTTGGTTGGCGTCACATTGGTTTCCACTCTATTAGATTTGATAGAGGACAGAAGATAGTGTACCTTTCCAAACAAATTTTCATCAGACAATTTTCCAAATTCATCTTCACTCACTAGTGATGTTTGTTCAGCTTTATCAATAACATTTCTCCTGTTTTGTTGATGGTGCATGAAAATTACTTTCTTGTGAAGCTCTGTCTTTGCGTTTACTGCTTCAGAGTTTGTCAAATCCGAAAGAGTATTGTGGGCATCCTCTGAATTGTGTTCTGTAAATCTAACTTTACGATTATCATCATCCTCTTCTTGTTGTTGTTGAACTGATTCATTTACCATTCCATCAGGAAAGCATTTCCTGCAAACACCGTCCTCATCAGCAATTTCCTCCACAAATTGTTGTTGATTTTGTTTTTTTGATGAGATTCGCTTTTCTTCCTTTATCCACCGAATAAGTGATGGATGGTTGAGTTTTTTTCGTTCTTTGTTGATTGCACAATATGATGACATTGTTATGCTCTGAATAATATTAATTAGTTGTCCTCAATACAATCACTGAATTCTTTAAAATATTAATTTGATGATAAAGATCCTAGATGTTGTGCATTTGTTTTTAGAGTTGAAAAATAAATGTAACAATTTGGCGCGAAAAACAAAATTGGCGCCAAGACAAAATCAGGATTGTCTTTGTTTTTGCTTATTGTTAATTTTCAATAATACGCTGTCAATAAAGAAAAATGGAGCAAAAGGTTAAAGGACTCTTGGATCAAATCAACAAAGATCATCAATTGGTGGAATTTTCACAACAAAAACCATCGGAAATTAAACAACGATTATTAATTGGAATTTTTGGAACACCTGGTTCAGGGAAGACAAGTGTTTGTCAGGATATGAAAAAGTATTTGACTGAAGAGTTGAAGATTAATTGTCAGGTCGTTCCTATGGATGGATTTCATTATTATAGGAGGGAATTGGATATGATGGAAGATCCTAAACATGCTCACAGTAGAAGGTAAATATTAATTATTTAATTATTAATTTAATAATTAATATTTAATTTAATAGAGGAGCTCCATTTACTTTTAATGATTTGGCTTTTAAAAACTTATTGGAAAATATTAAACATTCACCTAATCAGAAAGTGAGTGCTCCTTCCTTTGATCATGGTGTTGGAGATCCCATTGAAGATGATATTCATGTAGAAGCCAATCAATCAATTATAATTGTGGAAGGAAATTATTTGGCAACTTGGCCAAATGTCACACCATTGTTTGACATTTTGATTTATATCCATACTCAAACTAAGGAAGAGGTAGGTAATTTAATGTCAATCTCAAATCTCATATTGAATTAAGGCAATGGAAAGAGTTGTCAAGAGACATATCGGAACTGGAAATACTGAAGAATTGGCAAGACATAGAGTTGCAACCAATGATGGACCTAATGGCGATGGTATTATTTCTGATTTTAACAAATTGAAGAATGAAAAGGACTTTAAATTCCTCTACACACTGTTATCAGAGCAGGATTCTAGATATTGAATTTAAAATATTGTAAAAAAATGCAAGAATTAAATAGACGAAATACTAGTACATCATTGAAAGATTCTTCTTCCAAATCAGCACCATTAGCCAGAGAAAAACATGCAGATGCTGATTCATCATCTTCGGAAGCTTATGATAAATGGTTGAATATTGCTGTAGGTACAAGTTGAACAAAATTACTAATTAACTATTGGACTTCGGAACAAGACCACAGTGATAATTATCTTATTTGTTCTAGGAATAATGGCTTTTTATTATTACATGTATCGAATTTCATCCATTCTCACCTCACCAAAGCAATAATAACAAATTTAAATTACTAAAATTAGGTTGATGGGGTTTGATATCAACGTAACGATAACTGTATTACTCGTTCCCGCCAAAAGTTTTGAATTTTAATTTACGTAAAGTAAAAAAAATGTTACTCTCATCAGGCAAGAATGTTAGTGTAGAGGGATTGTTGGACACTATCAGGACATTGTGTTTGCAGAAAAGACTAAGAATTAATGAGTTTTTTATTGACTTTGATAAATTGAGATCAGGATTTGTATCAATCCCTCAATTTAGAAGATGTTTGAGTTCTTTCGGAATGGAATTAAAGGATGCTGATTTTGATAAACTTGTTTCGAGGTTTATTGATTCGAGCGTCAATAAGGTGAATTATATTCAATTTGCTACTGAAATCGATAAAGGTATGTTGATCCAATAACATGTACATCTTTAATAACACCATTTAATAGTATTTACCCTCAAAGGAATGGAAAAAGATCCTAAATTGGAAACTCTCAACTCTACAGAATTATTAAAATCACAGAAACCACAACTCTCAGCCACTGAAGAATTAAATATTCTATACGAAAAATTGAGATGGGAAGCCAAAACTCAAGGCCATATTATTAAGAATTACTTCAAGGACTTTGATCCTCTTAATCATGGAGCTGTTACTAGATCTCAATTTTTGCAATGTATTCCTTTCAGAAACCTGAATGCTGAAGAATTGCACTTGATTCTTGATAGATATGTAGATGAAAAAGGGGATATCAATTATCTCCGATTCCATGAAGAAATTGAAAATGAAATTAAAATAGATGACTATCCTGATTATAGATTCGAAAGAGCAACCCCTTCAATTGAGGAACAAGTCGATGAAATTGAAAAGGAAATCAAAAAGGCTTTGATCAAATATAGAATTAAATTGGATGAATCTTTCCGTGATTTTGACAGATTAAGAACTGGCTTTATCACTAAAGCTCAATTCATGTCCACACTAGGTGCCATAAAGTTCCACAAAATGGCTTTCAATCAAACACAGCTCGACATGTTGGCTGAAAAGTACAGAACTGAAGATCATCACTCCGAGTCCAGAGTATCATATCAAGAGTTCTTGAATAATGTTTACTCTGTTTTCAATGATAAGGGATTGGAAAAATTTCCAACTAAGAAATTCCATCAACAAAACAATATTGTCAAGCTTAATAGAAAGAATTTAGAGAGCGAAAAGGAAGAAAAATGTAACGATGTTATTAACAAGGTCAGTGAGATTGTAAGCAACAGAAGAGTTTTCATGAAACCATTCTTCCAAGATTTTGATAAAACAAAGAAGGGTACCTACTCCACCGATCACGTTACAAGGGCCAGATTCGAGAGAGCCCTTCACATGTCTGGTATCAATTTAACTCAAGATGAATATACTATTCTTGAAGAAAAATATGACGATCTTGGTAAGGGAGATGTAAACTACAAAATGTTCCTCGAGGATGTTGATGAAATTTTGCAAAATAGTAACTTTAATACTCGTGACTATGATGTTAAACTTATTGGTAATCTCCCAAAGAAGGAGAGAGGTCCAAAGGGAGAAAAGGAGCTAGATGAATTACTTGAGGATATTTCGTTCAAGTCCCTTGTTAATAGAATAAGATTGGAAGAGTTTATGAGAGATTTTGACCCTCTTAGAAGTCATGAAATTACAGAGAAACAATTCAGAAGTGCTTTAAATATGGGAGGTATTGATATGACAGATAAGGAGAACGAACAACTCATTTCAGAATTTAAGAGTCCAACGAAGAAAGGATTTGTTAACTATAGAAAGTTTTGTGACACAATTAACAGTGTAATTACTGAAAAGAATTTAGAAAAGGTTCCAACCAAAGAATTGGTTTCTCCTCTCGATTTTACTTTAAATTCCATGCAAAAACGTGGTCCACAAAAAGCATACACACCAATGGAGGACAAGCTCGATGAGTTACTTGGCAAACTTCAATATGCAGTGAAGACAAGAGGTATTGCTATGAAAGTAAATTTCGAAGATTTTGATAAGTTAAGAAGAGGAAAAATAAGCGAAACACAGTTTATACAGTGTCTTGATAAGCTTTTTAATTTCCTCACCCAAGAAGACTACAGGTTACTTCAAAATGCCTATTTTGAACCAACTTCAGGCTATGTAAACTATTTCAAGTTTATTCAAGATGTCGATAAGAATGAACGTGTTGACAGAACCCATCAATCTGTCTATGTAAAGGAATTAGAGTTGGCCGTTTCTCAAAACTTTATTAACCCTGATGTGCCAAAACAAATTCCTACAGAGATATCAAATGTTATCTATAAGGCCACGTCTGATATTGTTAAGAGTAGAACCAGATTGAAAGAATTCTTTGCTGATTTTGATAAATTGAGACACAATGTCGTTCCAAAGGCAAAGTTTAGAACTGCTCTTAGCATGGCTAAATTGAATCTTTCAGAACAAGAAATTCAATTGTTGGAAGATTATTACAAGGTTGATGCTCACCCAGATTTGATAAGTTATACATCACTTTGTGAAGAAGTTGATAGAGCTTTTGTTGAAAATAGACTTGAAAAATTCCCAACAAAGACTGCAGAATCATTCCAAGCTCGTCCAAGCTATCCTCTTAAATCTCATATTCCAGAAATCTCAAACGAAGTAGATGGTAATGAATTGAATGCAATCCTTAAAAAGGTTGCCACTAAGGCTGCTGTTATGCAACAAATTTTAACTGCCTACTTCCAAGACTATGACAAGCTGAGAAAACTTCGTGTTACCAAAACTCAATTTGCTTCTATTCTCGATTTCTTAAAGTTCCACTTGAATGACAAGGAACTCAGAGTGTTACAAAAGCATTACGAAGATGAAAGAGGCGATATTGATTACCACACATTCTGTAAGGAAATTGATGCTGTTGTCCTCACTTTGTAAATACTGATAAATAAACCTTAAAACTATTTCTAATTTATACAATGATGAATGTGGCGAATTTATTAGAATCCAATGTGGCTAACTCCTGTAATCATAATAATAGATCCAAAAATGAATGAAATCACATAGAGGAATGTTAATCCAGCAGATGTATCCTTTTCCACAACTTCTTTCCAATAATAATTAACAACAATATCGTTATTGATTGTTGATGGACGGTTAGAGGCTTCATCTTCTTCATCATAATCTAATTAATCAATTAATCAATTATGAAAATACTACAAATACATACATTCCAAAGAGTGTTTAATTTCCAAAATAGTATCTCCATGATAAAGGAACATAAAATCAATTTGCTTCAAAAAGTGATAACTGTTCTTGCTAGTAACCTCATCGGGAGTACCCTTTGAAAAGAGTGTGATCCAAGGAGTTTCAAAATTAGGGTGATGGAAAGCAAATGAAAGCTTTAAATCATCCTTTGATTGAGCAATTAATTCCTCATAATATTTATCGGTACCAGCTGGAGACTTTGGTGTTTCAAGGAAGGCTTCTAAAATAGCAGCAACACCAGTGATTGTGATCTTTTTTGGAATTCCATATCTTGGAGCATCTCCATATGGCACCTCACTCCATTCAGTTCTCTTCTCATTAAATTGTATCTTTTTTAACATTGGAATGGCGTCTCCGATTTTATGTCCATTCAATGATGTAATTAATAAATTAATACTAATGATCAACAATAAACAGATCGGAACAAATTTTCTTATCGATGATGATGGAAGCATTTTTTTTAATATTATTATTTTTATTGTGTGACGATGAAATAATATTAAATGTGAGGTGGATTAAATTTAATATTTTAATAAATTAATAAAAATCAAGTAAATTGTTTAAGCATCACCAAAACCAGCATTTCTATCAGTAAGCTCAGCAATAATACTAGACTTTTGAACTTGACCAATTAAACGACCTCTCCAAACAACGAACACGTCATCCAAATTCAATTTGGAGAAGAGTAAGTGAGCTAAAACGAGAGGTGTATCTTCAGAAATGGTAATTGGACAAGTATTCTTTTCAATTTCAATTTCTGTATCATAGTCAGGATTGCCTTCAAGAGTTGGTTTCATAGTATTGTAATAATCTTGTAATTTCTTAGTATTGACACAACCAACAAGAAGTAAATCACTCTTATTATTAACAATTGGAATAGTCTTGGCCAAATCTGGCTTTTCCAAAAATTCTCCAATCTTTCTCAAGCTTGCCTTTTCTTCCAAAATTGGCAAACTATCAACATATTGCATGACGTATTTAACTCTAATATCGTCAGAGTCAGTTGTTGATTCAAGGACAGCTGGCCATTTTCTAAACTTGATAACAAAGTCATAGGCACTGTAAGACAACCATCTGGAAATAACAACTCCAATATAGGATGCTCCCAATGCAGGTAAGTGAACACCATGACCTGTTAATTCTAGCAGAATAAATACAGAACTGAAGGCCTGCGTTTGTGAACTAGTCAAAGCAGCAGCAGCAACAAGACCATAACTGGCTGGAACAATCGGATGGTTTGGACTAAAACCATCAGGTAAAATAAAGGCAAGACCTTCACCTACAAGTCTACCAAATGAAGCTCCAATAATCAACAATTGCAAATATGAACCACCAGAAACAGGCAAAACTGTTGTAAGAATTGCCAAAATGTATCTGACAGTAATAAATATAGAAATTGTAATAAATACTTCTGAAATATTTCCTTGAATCCATTCTCCCTTAGCGCCATTCACTGTTGTTAAAGGTTTTGCCATTAATAATTCTTCGAAAATAGGCACACCACCAATACTCATATATTTACCAATCATTTGAGGGAATGAAAGGAAACTAGTAACGAGAGTAATAATAATTGTGAAAATAATTCTGTTTTCTGTTAAAATTACCAATTTGTTAGTGGCATACTTGGCAAACTTGAAAGGTCCAAGATGCAATTTACCATATTTATCTCTCAAAACAAGCAATTGTTCATTGACAAAGACTACTGCAATACCAACAAAAGACATTACAATGGCAACAAAAAGCATGAAAAATAATTCTGGAAGAGTGAAAGATGGAGGAACAATCTTAACATTCCATGTCAAGAATGGTTTGATATTCAAATTGACAGCACTGTGCAATAAACGAGAAGTCATGCAGGCAATAAAAGCTGCATAAAAACTCTTGAAATAGTTTCTCAAAGAATAATAGGTACCAACTAACTCTGCTCCAAACAATACACCTCCCACGACAGCACCATCGTTAGCTGCACAACCGACAGCAATACCACATACAATCATTTCTTGTTTCAGAGTTTTGGTTTTTCTTATGGACTCGAATAATCTAAATTTCAGTAAATTCTTAGCAGCACAAGTGACAATGTGAATGGAAGGACCCATTTTACCGATATATAAACCAGCTGTAAGGACTGCAGGTAATGATAAATATTTCACAATCATTGTCTTCATACTTAGAACATCCTTTAAACCTCTGACACCATTCAAAATAGCTTTAATACCTGCCAAACCAGATCCTTCAGCAGATGGAGCAACTAGAGCAGTCAACACAAGTGCAAACATTATAAAACATAAATTATAAGTAACCCAGATAAACAATCTCAAATAAAAGTATTCCTCAGGATCGAATAAATTAATCAATGTTTTTTACCCAACACTAAATACCTAACAATAATT